TTTCCTATTGGCCAACAGTGCTTTATTCATTAACCAGTATGAGAAACATATTTACAAAATGACATCTCCCATCAGTAGGTTCTAAATAAAAAGCCCAGTGTCAGGTATGGGCTATTTCCTTTGCTTGTGATGGGGGACCCAAAGACCCCCACAAAAAACAACACAGGCTATTGCCATTGATTTAGTTGCTGAAATGATGTGAATGAGATGTCTCCCATAGTCTTGGGCATTTGAGCACTTGGTCCCCAGCTGGTGGTGCTGTTTGGAAGGAATAGCACTGCTGGAGGAAATATGTTACCAGGAATGAGCTTTGATGTTTCAAAAGCCTGACATCATTCCCGGTTCACCCTCAGCTTTCTGTTTGGGGTTCAAGATGTGAGCTCAGAGCTGTTTCGGCCGCCATGACTGCAGTCTATGGCCACTATGCCATAGGACTCTTACCTCTCTTAAAGAAGAGAGGTAAATGCTCTCTTCTTTAAGTTGCCTTGGCCATGGTGCTTTTATCACAACAAGAGAAAAGTAACTAATACAGTTGCCCACTAAAACAGAATAGTAAGTCTCTGTTGCTAAAGACAGTACACAGTTTGGTCCTAGCTTTCACAGCACCAGAAGGTGCTATTCAGGATGCTGGGTGTGGGGGAGGGGAAGATTAATCAATAGTCTTACCCAGCTAAGACTTCTGTGGGCTATGATAATGACTGACTGGCAAGCTGTGTAATGAGGGTAACTAACAGCTTTCTGATTGGATTTAAGGCCCACTTCACAGGAGGAAATTCATGCTTGATACAGTAAATCAATCTGACTTATGTGTCAGGAAGGCTTTATACTGCTTATAAAGCAGCTAGCCAAGGCGGCTTTTCCTGAGGAACTTATGCCTATCCAGGTGATTGACAAGGTCATTTAGATTGACTTTCGTTTGAAAGGACAACTGTATTCATATTCTTTAAGGAAACCTCTTATAGATCATATTCTTGAGATTTGTTTTATTTTATATGAATAAGTGTCTGCCTGCATGTATGTCTGTGCACCATGTGTATGCCTGACGCCTACAGAGGCCAGAAGAGAGCACTGGATCTCCTAGTTACAGATGCTTGTGGGCAGCCATGTGGTGCTGAGAATTTGAACCAAGAACCTCTGGAAGGGCAGCCAGTACTCTTAGCCACTGACCCATCTCTCCAGCTCCTAGATCATATGCTTATAAGGTCTAGGAAGGTCTCAATGAATGGCCTTCCAGAGAGTTCATCAAGTATAGGGACTATGATTCAGATCCCATTCTTTTGATCAATAAATGGAGTATTGAAATTTCATTTTGGTTTTAAAGCTGCTGGTTAAGAGGAAAGGTCCATCTCCAAAGCCCCCTTCCCTGGTGATATCTAACTTGCTACCTAGTAAAATTAAGTTGTTTTTTTTAATGATAATAAGGATTTTGAATATTAGCAAGCTTGGCGAGACTGCCTTGATCCACACTAAGCAGTTTACTGTGTATCAGGAGACACCATCCACTAGATAAATTTCTCGTGATTGTGATGATGATGATAAAGTACCATCTGCTCCTTACAGCTGGTGTGTGAAGGCAATGTTCAAAGACCACACACAATGAACACCTAACATGTAGTTGATGACATTCACAGGCAGCATCAATAAGAGCAGTACTAGGCTGAACAGATTCTATCATTACAATCCACGAGAGTCTGCAGCCAATGTAAGAGATGAAAACATTTTGTGATAGCCCCACTTTCTCCTTTTATTGAGGAAGACAGCCAATTGCATAACAATGGCTTCACCAGCTAGGGCTTGGTTTCTCAAGTGCTAGGATAAGAATGGAAAGTCCTTTTATCTCTGCAAGACAGGGGCAAAATAAAGGTAGCCTAGGCTACGAGAAGGAGGAGAGCATTACTCAAACACACACACACACACACACACACACACATATATACATTGATCATTCATCTCTTTCATGTGATAATCTCCATGCCCCTCTCTCTGTACTGCTTTCCTGCCACAGATGCCATTAAGAGCTATGGTCCCAGAAATCTCTGGAAAGGAGATGCAGGATTGATGGTCAGTCTTCCAAGGTTTCATCCATGCTTACCAGAGGCAAAGCTCCTGCCTAGGAGATGGCACAGCAATCTGTCCCAGCTTACCCATCACTAAAGGGAAGGCTTTGGATCCCCTGTAGTAAGAGCTGGATAGATTAGAGCAGGACAGATGGCCCAGCAGTCTGTTTTCCAGAACCCACACAGTGGCTACAACCATCTGTAACTCCAGTTCCAGGACCTTCATCACTCAAATGCTAAAGAATGAAAGATTTCAAGGGGGAATACCCATTGTTTTTTGTGGCACATGACTTTCATTATTATTTTGTTTGAAATATGTGTTTGTGTGTATGGATGTTCTTCCTGCATATATATCTGTCCAATACAGGCTTGCCTGGTGACTGAGGAAGCCAGAAAAGGGCATCAAATCCCCTGGAATTGCAGGTATGGATATTTGTAACCTCTCATGTGAGTGCTGGGAATTCAACTAGAAACCTCTGGAAAAGCCAAGGCTGTTAAATGCTCGCCTATCTCTACCATTCCTGGTATATGTTTTTTTTGCTGGAGCATCTTCAATCATTGACTTTAACAATATTCTTTTTTAGATTTATACATACAATGTATTTTACATGATCAATGTTTTGTCTGAATACATGTCTGTATACCACATTCAGACTGAGTGCCAATAGAGACTGGAAGAGGGTATCAGATGCCCTAAAACTGGAGTTATAGACAATAGTATGACAATTGTGTGGTGCAAGCACTCTTAACCCCTGAGACATCTCCCCAGTCCTTCTTTTTATGGATTCTTTGTGTCTTTCACATCATGCATCTCCATTCTATTTATTTCCCCATCTCTTTGTACCCACCCTCTGCCTCTGTAACCTCCCCCTCAAAATAATATAAAATAAAATTTAAGAGAAAAAGAGAAGAGGAAAAAAATCAGTGTCATCATGGAAGCTGTAGTGTGACATAGTGCGTCATAGTTTACCCTTTTATCCATACATCTTTACTTGCAAATGTTCATTGTGAAGAGTCGTTGGTCTGGTTCAAGGCCTCTGGTATCTGCTACACTACTGATGCTGGTCCCTCGCTGGAACTCCTCTTGGTTATCCTGCTATTGCCCTATGTCTTGGAGATCCCTTCAGATCTGCAGGACTGGTTCCTTCATGTGCTCCAGCAGATCGCAGATGGGTTGGATGTCAGGGTGGTCCCGGGTCTGGGTGGTTGCAGGGTTGGTCAGTCTGCCAGCTGTCCCCTGTCCTCACCACCAGGGTGAGCTCTCTGCAATGCAGAGTTCACCCCTTGCAGTGACTAGCAGGGCCAGTTCCCCTTCCATGCCCTCAGGGTCAGATCTCCCACACCTACACCTTCAGGGTCAGCCCAGGCATGACATTGGGGCCATTCTCTGGAGTGGTGCTGCTGATGAGGGGCAGGGCCAGATCTCCTGCTCATATGGCCTCAGGGCCAGCTGTCTCACCTGCCTTAGGCTTTGATGAGCAGGGTGGAGAGGGCATCTCTCCTGCACCCATGGTGCCACATGACAGATGGGTCATGGGGACAGCTCTCCCTTGCTCACTACTTCAGTGCTGGTTCACCCATACCTCCACCAATGGGACTGGCTCTATTGCGCTGCCCAGGTGAAATGCAGGGCCTGCTCTCCTGAGTGTTGCAGCTGGTGGTAGGCAGGGGCAGCTCCTGCTTTTATTGCCTCAGGGCCAGCTCTCTCACCTGCCTCAGATGTCAATGGGCAGGGTGGGTGGCTATAACAATTTTGTAAGGAAAAAGAATCACCAAATAACCCAACTAAAAATGGGGTACAGATCTGAACAGAGAATTCTCAGCAGAACAAACTCAAATGGCAGAAAGACACAGAAATGTTCAACATCCTTAGTCGTCAGGGAAATGCAAACCAAAACCACTCCGAGATTCCATCTTACACCTATCAGGATGACTAAGATCAAAAACACCAATGACAGCTTATGCTGGAAAGGATGTGTAGAAAGTGGAACACGCCTCCATTGTTTACGGGACTGCAAACTTGTACAGCCACTGTGGAAATCAGTGTGGTGATTTCTCAGAAAATTAGGGACCAACCTACCTCAAGACCCTGCAATATCACTCTTGGGCATATACCTGAAGGAGGCACATTCACACCACGAGGACATTTGCTCAACTATGTTCATAGCAGCATTATTTGTAATAGCCAGATCTTGGAAACAACCTAGATGCCCCCCAACTGAAGAATGGATAAAGAAAATGTGGTATATTTACCCAGTGGTAAGAAACAATGATATCCTAAAATTTGCAGGCAAATGGACAGAACTAGAAAAAACCATCTTGAGTGAGGTAACCCAAACCAGAAAGACAAATATAGATGTGATAATATGAACAAAGGAGCCAAGACCATGATGGGGAAACCCACACAATCAGCTGACCCGAGCTAGTGAGAGATCACTGACTCAGGTCTGACAAATGGGGAACCTGCATAAGACAGAGCTAGACTCCCTTAATATAAGTGACAATGGTGAGACTGGGACAATATATGAGGCCACTGGCAGTGGGTCCAAGATCTAACACTAATGCACAGACTGACTTAGTGGAGCCCATTCTATATGGAGAGATACCTTGTCCAGCCTAGACACAGGGGTGTGGGGGGTGGAGGGGTGACTTGGTCCTGTGTCAACTAGATGATGGAACAGACTTAGAAGACTTCCTAGGGAAGGCCTTACCCTCTCTGAGGAACAGATGGGAAGAGAGGGGTGGGGTGGAGGGGGATCAGGAGAAGAGGGAGGGGCAACTGGGTTTGGAATGTAAAAAATAAATTAATAAAAAAGGAAATAAAATAAATGAATTAATTAAAAGAATCACAGGGAACTTGAATTCAGGCATTTTATTGCAGTTTTGCACAGCACTTGAAATTTCAAAGCAATAGAATTCAGAAAGAAAGAAGAGTGGATTGACCTTGGCAAAAGGAGAAGAGAGACTTCTCTTGGCTTTAAGCCATAATAGACAGCCCTTTTAGGAAAGGACTGTCTACCCAAAGACTACGGTTGCAATGATAGAAGCTGAACATGAAACTCAGTGGTAGAATGCCAATTAGAAACATGCAAAAGCTCGCCCATGGGTGTGGACTCTTCCTAACAGAGTGTACTGAGCTCAGTCATGGAGCAGCCTTCCGTGCAGCACAGAGCTTGCAGATCTCGTTTGGACACCACCGAGTACTTCTTCCACTGCCAAAGCCTTTCCGTGGGTGCCTGCGGATTTTGAACAAGCTCCTGTCCTGAGGTATCCATCTTGGGAAGGTTGTGCTCAAGAGTTTCCTTGGATGTCTCCTGTCTGTCTGGGAGCGGGAAATAGTTTCTTGGCTCAGCTATAAGAGAGGAAAGGCACCAGACTACCTTAAAGAACCCTGACAAGGAAAGCAACAGAGACCCACAATTCAGGAAGAGCGGGCTTGTGCACGCTTTTCATTTTACAGAGGTTGAGAGACAGAGGTTGAAAGACATCAGTGTCAGTTGGCTAGCAGAAACTGCTGCCGGCCACCTCTGCTCCATGAGCAGCAGTTTCCAAAGATATTACTTATGATTAGCAATACGCTATGTAATTAGCCATAAGAGATGTAATTAATTAGCTAGAGGCAGAACAACAACAGTAACAAAAACCCTGGGTATGCCTCGCAGAGCTCATCAATGGGATTTCCACTCCGTATCTGAAAGTGAAACATGAGCCATGTTATTTAATCTAAATGTTGTTCCCAATGTCTGTATTCAAGCCCCACTGATTTTTAATTTAGTTCAGATTCTTGTATCAACCTTGGCAAGCACTAAAGGAAAAAAATCATATGAATGAATGCTAGTTGGCCAACTAGTAATTGATCAGATAAATAATGTGAAGGAAAACTGGATGGAGACCTGTGGAAGGTTTGAGTGTTATGATATCAGATGGCTCAGTGAGATGGCTCGGGGGACTAAGGGTACTTGCAGCCCGACAATGGAAGCCTGGAGCTGCATTTGATCCCCAGAATATACACAAAGATGGAAGGAGAAACTGACTCCACAAACATGTCCTCTGACCACCACATGTGCACTGTGGCATATGTGCCTGTATATAAACATTCTCTCTCCCTCCCTCCCTCCCTCCCTCCCTCCCTTTCCATCTCCCTCTCCCCCCTCTCTCTCACACACACATACCACCACCACCACCACAACAATGACACTAAAATATAAAATATAAAAGGAGAAATGTATTCATTCTACTGCTCTGAATATTCAAAGAGTTTTTCTACTATAACTTGATGTGCTGATTCAAAAATCAGTGACAACTCTTTCTCTTTCCAAGTTGAAAAAATACTTACATTTCTGATAAGGTCTGTATGAGCCTCCATATTAAAGTGGTAAGAACAAGTTTATCACATCTCAAGGCATCATCCCACTAACATATGAACACTGTTGACCCTTTACTAAAGTCTTCTGTTAAGCAAAGTCATTTTAAGCCACACTGAAACCATTGGCATTTACATGACATTCATACCCTAAATCTTTATTAGAAAACAAAGGCAATGAAATCCATTATTCAAGCAGAGGTGGGCACAGAAAGAGCAATGTTGCGTGGTCTCACTTATAAGAGAGATCTGGAAAGTCAAGGCCACGGGAACAAAAGGAAAATGGTGGTTGTCTGAGGATGACTTGGGTGTCCAGGAGGAATGAGCCCAAGAGATGGCCTGTGCAATGTGGCAGCTCTGATGAACAGCAGCATGTGCATTCCAGAAGTTACTAAGAGCATACATTTTCAGTGTTTCACCACCAGAAAATAAGTGTGTAGGTAATATGTATGTGAATTAGCCTGATTTAGCCATTGTGCAACATCATACATGGTAAGTCAATTTTTGTCCATTAAAAATAGAGTAATAGAACCTTAAGTAAATGCTAACTCATAGTTTTTTTATTTTTATTATGTGTGTGTGTGTGCGCGCGCGCGAGCACATGCGCGCGTGCGTGCATGCATGCGTGCTCGCAGATGAATGTAGGTGCCCAATGGACCAAGGAGTCAAAACCCCCAGAGCTGGAGCTACAGACAGTTGTAAGCTGCCTGACATGGACCACTGAGTCATGTCTCCAGCCCCTTACCTCATAATTCATTACAAGATTGGCAGAAAGAATTCCAGTCAATCTTCTAAGTCACTTGAATTTAAAACAGAGGTTCCGCACATCACTGCTGTGATAACAGATTGATGGGCACTCTGGGAATTCTGAGCACACATTTCCTATTACTCACAATGCCACCAACTCCACCTGCCTCGCCTTCTCCATGATGTCAGTATCTATTGAAGCCTTCTCTTCACTTTTGGACGCAGAATATAACAGCAATGACTTCAGCTCTTGAAGTACATAGACCTGGCTAGTTTCCTGGCCTCGCTGCTTAAGAGCTGGGTAAACAGTTTTCTTATTGATAAACGATAAACAGTGGCCGTGTTACTTACTTCACATCTTTTCCGGAAAGCTGAGTGAAATGTTGCCTCTGAAATTGGCTGCTACTTTATAAGCGGTCTGTTGAGTTGGGTCTTTCCTTTCACATTTGTTTGCCACTTATCTGAATTCTAACATAATACACTCTGTAACCATCCGCATGCAGATACCTGGCTTCTTCATAGCCTTCACTGCTCCTCCCATAGATGCAAACTAACCTTGCTGAATGAAGTCTGATACAACAAAATGATTGCAAGCAGAAGACTAAAGAATAAGAGTGCATTACTTTTCAAACTGTAGCATGTTCGCCTCTTACCAGGCCAAATTCAGTAGTGTATTTTGATGATTAAGCCCTTACATTGATATAAAAGTAAATCAATGTCTCTTAGAGAAATAGCTACTAACATAACTGGGGATGGGGGAATAAAAGGTTAAGTCTGGGGAAAAAAGAAAGTGATGTGCATGAGTTCAATTACCTCGCTGAGCTTGGCCTGCCTCCTCCAGGGATCTCCTCCACCGAGAGCTGGCGCAGATGTAGACCACGGTTCTCACGTAGTCGAGCCCACAGAGCTTCACAGTCTCCCCCCCTCTCACTTGCACCACAGCCAACAGGACAGAGAAGAGAAAGAGAGCGAGAGTGGGGCCCTTCATGGTGCCAGAGAGCAAATGAGAATGGATGCAATCAGCAGTACCCGGTGAATTTTTGAAGTTACCTCGCCTCCTTGGGCCATTTATACTAATCCCCTTGACGCCCTATTGCTCAGACCTTATTTTAACAGTATTTACTAAGCACGCAGGCAGCAGTATGGAGGGCTATCGATGTGCTTTTATGGTTATTGCTGGGTACTCAGTCATCCACGCACCTCACTTAGTATTGCTGCATCTTCTCCGGGGTTGCTGTGGAAATGCAAGACTTTGAGAAGCAGGAAGGTATTTGTTTCAAAGCCCACTTTTCATTTTACTAACTGACAGAGAGCAAGCTTTAAACTCTGAAAGTCAATAGCGGTGTCTCTCTAGCAGGGGAGATCCCATCTGATGAAGGCTTCCAGGGAATGAACGTGGCTTCTCCATCAATGTAGTGGGTAATCAACAGTGATGCAGCCTGTCAGGCTCTGGGTTTTATTCCTGGCTTTCCTCTCACTCGATCTAGAATTTAAAGCACCCTCTTTTTAAAAACTGCTGGTGGCGATGTTCTTACATTCCAGAGGTGATAAGACAATGGATGCCCCACTTTACACACTAACGGTTGTTAATTTCTTGGTTTCCATCTTACCTCAGCATCAGAATGGACTAGGAAAGATAACTTCTCCTCAGAACTCAGAATTACCGTGACTAGAATGCTCCTTCATATCCTTACCCAGTGAGTTGGGTATGCCTATCACAGCATACATTTCTATTATAATAAAGTCAAATTTGTATTCCCAAACAGCTAAATAACGAAACATTTCTTTTCATAAGTCAGTTGAAGTGGTTTCTGCCCCAACTTCCTCAGTGGTGGACTGAGATGTTGAAATGTGAGCTGAAATAAACCCCTCTCACCCCAACTTGCTTTTGGTTAGACTATTCTATCACAGCAGCAGAAAAACAGGCCAGAACAGCTATGCAGCCCGAATATAAATATACTCTGGAAACTAAAAATAGCTAGTTACCTCACCCCCTCGCTGCTCCACTAGATTCTAAATATTCTCTCTGCCTCCATTTTTTTTTTCCTGCAATTCCTAGGGTCTCTCCAGGGATCACCCTAATTTGGGGTGTGGATGAGAGGGCACAAGGATCTGAATTCTGTGTGTGGCTATATGGGTACAATCCAGTTGTCCTGGCCATGTTCAGACTGACAAAGCCCATGAGGATAATGTGAGCCCCAGTATGTCACTAGTGTTCCCTCTCACACCTGGCTGCTTTATTTCTCTCATTTGTAAATTGGGAAGTTTGGGTTGGATTACTTAAGGACTCTTCTGACCTTGAAATTCTAAGTCTTGCTGTAATTATCTAATTAGGTTGCTCCTACCTCAAAATCCTTTACCATTGAGTGGAGGGAGATCTTAAAGTAGGAGAGATGGTAGAATACTAGTGATATGAAGGGGGGAATGGAATAGGAGGGGATGTTTAAATGGGGAGGGGGTTAGGAGGTAGGGGAAAGGAACTAATACAAAGGATGTTTGAAAAAAAAGCCATGGGAAGCTACTATTTTTTAAGTTTCAGAAATATAAAAATGTTTAATTGGAATTGCCCTATGGGAGAGGGGCCGTATAATGCTCCTCTCAGAAGCTACAAGCTAACAAAGAAAATGCCCAGTGAGAGGTATGGGCTACTCCACCAGAGTTTTGGTCAAGGGGAATTCCAGAGACCACCCAAATAATGCCAGAACTTGACAGTTCTCTGTCCTCTAATATGACTCGGCGAATTCTAGTGGGAACTCTCATGATAAAACTACTGACACCTGGAAGTCATTTCAAACTCCTCATTCTTAGTATCTAATGACTGAAATATTCTTTGTACTCAAACATCAAATCTCCAAGTCCCTACTCGGTGTATTTCAAGGTGGAAGGCTTGGACTGACACTCCATATTTTCTTCTGACTTCCGCATGTATGTATGCTGTGTCATGGGCAAACCTAGACACATACAGACATACATGGATATATACACACAAGAGGGAGGCAGGTTCAAGGTCTGGCTTCTGTCTACCAACCAGGTGAGGTCCAGTTGTCTCGGATAAAACAAACACTTCACAGACTGTGAACTTTCCCTTTCCATACTTTCCTCATGCTGAAACTTCCTTCCTCCTTCAAATGTGGTTAATTCTTTCTCCTTACAAATATCTACAGGGAGGATTTTGAAGCAAGTATATATGGATAACATTTCGCACAGGTGTTATAAACTTTCCTACAACTCACTTATCGAGAACCTATTACAGCGGTCCTCAATCTTCCTAATGCTGTGACTCTTTAATACAGTTGCTTATGTTGTGATGATCCCAACCATAAAATTGTTTCTGTTGCCACTTCATAACTGTAATTTTGCTACAGTTATGAATCATAATGTAAATAGTTTTTGGAGACAGAAGTTACCATAGGGGTTGTGACCCACAGATTGAGAACCACTGCATTATTAGAAGGAATCAAAATAAGCAAATAATATGTAACACGATATCACAAGGACAAAACCAGTATTAAATAATAAACAATAACAAAAAAATCTGATTTTAAAATGGTCAAAAGAGGGCCAAGGAAGATGACTTAGTTAGTAAACATGCCTGCTACTAAGCCTGGTTACCTGAGTTTGATCATAGGAATCAGCGTGGTAGAAATAGAGAACTCTCAAAAGTTGTCCTCTGATCTCACATGTATGCTCTAGCATGCACAAACCCACACCACACACATGTACTACAACAGTTTTGATATTTTTTTCAAAGAAGGTACACAACAGTCAAAAAGCATATGAAAATGTGGTCAGCATCACTGCTCACAGAGAAATGCAAATTTGGTACCGTTATGGGGAAAATTTTAGAACTTCCTCCCCAAAATTAAATGTGTCGTGTGATTCAGAAATTCTGCTGCTGGGTGTACATCCAAAAGAAATGAAATCCGTATGTTGCGAGGCACCTGCACTCCATGTTCACTGTGGTTTATTCACAATAAATACATAGAAGCAAGACTGGGCATGGGTGGTACTTGCTGGATCCTAGCTGTAGGGAAGTGGAAGGAAGAAAGATCAGGAAACCAAGGGCTTCCTTGGCTACCTACTGAGACTAGGCTGGGCTCTGTAAGCCCCTGTTTAAGAAAAGAAAAGAAAAGGAAAAATGGGATCAGTTTACATGTCTTCCAATAATTGGCTAATCTGGCGTTTGTAAACACACACATGTGTGTATGGTTTCAGATATACTCAGAAAACAGTAATTGATACTTAAAGCTTTATATATACACATCAATTTTGTGTTTTGTTATCATTTTGAGTGCTTAGAAATACAGACGATAAACAAAGCATGTTACAGTTTGGGAAATGTAATAAAATTGAGCTTGTCCTGGTGGTGTGGGTAGGTATACTATCCCTGCTATTCAGAAATCTGAGATTGGAGGATCATGATCCAGGCCACTCTGGGCTACTGTTCAAGTGAGTTCAAGGTCAGCTGGGTACCTAGTGAGACTCTGTTATAACATTAAAAAAAAAAAAAAAAAAAACAAAAAAACAAAACAAAATGAAGAACTAAGGAATAGCTCATTGATAGTGTGCTTGCCTTATTGTCTTACTCAAACAAGAGCAGGAAAACAACAAAACCCCCAAGCCTGTGCATTAATCTTTGTCTCTATCCCTCTATCTACCATCAGAGTTCAGATATAGGTCTCCCAAGGATTCACCTTGGGACTCTTCTTGGGATAAAATACCATATTTTCTTGTAGTTGAATGTACCTATTTACAATATATACTTGGTAAAAATACAGGTTTTCACGAGTTGTTGGGGGGGTTGCATAAATTTTGGGCAATCTTAAAAAATGAATGCTCACTTTTATAAGACTCATAACAATGTTTTATATGTCGGATTTAGTGGGCATATTGCATTTTCCGCTCAATCTAGGAATTGGTCTCATGTAAAAGTCAGCTTGTTAGTTTTACTACGCAATGAGTTTGCCACATAAAAGCTAATATGCTAGTAAATGGTCTACAAGTTTCGAGGAAATTTGAAACAAAGTCCTGAACAAACAGATTGCAAAGCCCAAATGTTGCACAGAGAAGTCAATGGGGTCACCAGGACAGCATGGGTCTCCTGCACGAAAAAGGAACAAAAATAGCAGGGCACAAAGGCTAAACATGTTTTCTGGAGACCAGGCTCTGGGGACAGGGCTCTGGGTGATCAGAATGAGCCCTGTGCCCTTTCCTTGGATGCTTTACATTAGATAGCCTTGTTTCCCAAATTGCTGGTGGGAGCACAATCACACAAGGTAATAGCAATCTACACACACACACACACACACACACACACACACACACACACACACACACAAAACAAAAACCAAAAAACCATGGGTTTGTTATTATTTTTATATTGAAAGAACAGAATGTATTGTAACAAAATGGAAGAAAGCTGCACCTATGCTCACGAACTTTCCGAGCTGATTCCATGTTCTCTAATAATTTTTACAGTTTAAATGTTTTATCTACTCTGATGCTAAAATGTTTTCTTAGGGCTCCGAAGCAATTTAAGATATTGAACCACATTGTGATAAGGATCTGCAATAAGGAAGCTATAGTTCCCTGATCCTGGCATTCAAAAGGTATCTCTTGTGTTCTCAATTGGTGAGGCAGTGTGGTGAGCCCAGCACATGGTCCCTCTCTTCAAGAAGCTTACAGCCTAGAAGGGATGGAGGGACTAAGCAACTGACCTCACCAACTTTTACCATAGCAGGTATGAATCGTGTTTTGAAATACTGTTATGTACACATAGAGCTAATTGGGTAAGCTGTCCTACATGCCCCATACTACAGAGGGAAAAATGTAAAACAAAAAAAGGTTGTTAAAAAAAAAAGACCTATATTTTCTATACCTTGTAGCAGGCTATTTCTTTTGGGCCACCAAGCAGCTCCCAGTCATGACACAGGTTTATTATTAGTCTTGAATGCTTGGCCTCAGCTTAGCTCTTTTCTGGCTAGCTCTTTTTAACTTATGTTAACCTATTTTTCTTTACATATGTTTTGCCTCGGGTCTTTTTACTTCTCTTTCTTCCTTTCATGCTTCTCTGTCTGTCTGTTTGGTGAATACCTGGCTTCTTGCCCTGGGCATGTCCCTCTTTCCCTTCTCCTTCTTCCATTCTTTCTTCCCAGCCTAGACTCACCTCCTCCTGCCCAGCTCTTTATTAGAACAATCAGCTGCTTTAGGCAGGTAAGGTGAAACAGATGCAACACACCTTTACATAATTGAACACAGGTGCTTCCGCGGTTAAACAAATGCAGCATAGACAAATAACCCAACTTTACATAGGTCAAATAATATCCTACGACAATACCTCAAATATTTTCTGATTCCAGGTCACTCTAAATATGTATTAAACAAGTCAATGTCAGCACAAGTTGCTTGCCCTTCCCTAGATATGACTGTAATGTCTTGCTGTGCCAAGATCCATCTGTCATCAGTACAGTCCTCCTCCGCTCCAATGGCCCTGGATGCTTCCAGGCAGGGAATGGTTTTCGTCTCTCTCTCTCTCTTTTTTTTTTTATTGTCTGAGAATTCCACATCATGCACCCCAATCCCACTCATTTCCCAGCCCCTCTATATCCACCCTTCACACTTGGAAAGGAAAGCTTAAAAATAAGGTAACAATAAAAATACAAATAAAATATGAAGTTAAAAACAAGCAAAACCCAAAACAAACTAACAAAAAAGCAAACAACAACAACAAACCACTTTACTCCTCCATCTTTTCCAGCTCTCCATCAGCTCTTTATTCATCTTGGTGGTGTTGGAAGTTGCTGTGTATCATACACTAACTCTTCTGTCCAAACAGCTTTATTTGCAAATATTTATTACATTATGTGTTGGTGGTCAGGTGCAAGGTCTCTGGCTTCTGGAACACCATCAATCCTGGTCCCTTCACTGAATCTCCTCTCTGCTATCCTGATGTCGCCCTGGTCATGGAGATCCTGTGGCTATGGTTCAGCAGGACCAGTTAGTTCTTTCACGTGCTCCATCATGTCATAGATGCGGTAGATGTTGGGGAATGCCAACATCAAAGCCCTGCATGTCTGGGTGGTAACTGAGTTGGTCTGACTGGGCTGCTGAAAGCACCCTGCTCAGGTGAGGAACAGAGCCAGGTCTCCCATGCTCATGGTGAGGGGTGGAACCAGCTTTCTTGTGCTGGGGTCATCATTATCCTAGGGCCAGTTGGTGTCAGCTCAGCACAGCCCTTGTACTTCAACACATAGTTCACGCGGGTCCCTGTGGTAACTCGGGCAACAGACCTCAGCTGCAGCTTGACCACTGACATAAACATGGCTAGCAGCAGTAGCTTGAGCCTGGGTGTCACCCTGGCTCCAGGAAGCAGTGCAGGCCTCTCAGATCAGTGTGGTCCCAGTTACAGTGTGGTTACAGCCCCAGTTACAGACTTCAACATGGATCCAGATGGTCTCCCAGCCCCTGTGCAATCGCAGAGCCTTCTATGGTACCAGGAGCCACAGACATGGCCTCTAGCCCCAGGCGGCAGTGTAGGCCACCCGGATCAGTATGGCCCTGGAGGCAGCATGACCCTCAGGCACCAACACAGCCTTGGGTCACACTCTGGGCATCTGCTCTGCATTCGGTGGTAACTGGAGCCTGCACATTGTCCATTGATGAAGAGACCCTGGCTACAGGAGGGCCACAGACCCAGACACGGCCCTTGGCAGCAGTCCAGGATCAGATGTCACCATGGTCCCAGGTGGCAAGCAGGCTGTTCCTCACTGCCTTCACCTCTTCAAATCTGCCTCTCTCCAAAGGACATGAACCATTCTCTCTCTCTCTCTCTCTCTCTCTCTCTCTCTCTCTCTCTCTCTCTCTCTCTCTCTCTTCTATGCCTCACCATATATTTGCTCACCATAATGGCTGCTCAGAACAACAAACTAAACCAAACCAAAGCAAAGCCAATGTGTTTAAGTTGCCAGTGAATGGTCTGGTGTTTTGTCTTACTTCTTCAAGCTGTAAACAGTCTTCTGGGAAACAGATATTGTTATAACAATTTTCTCTACTTGTTTCAAAACTGTTAAGATAAATAAGCTGAGATAATGGGTATGAATGTGTTTTATAAACTAAAAAGAGCTTCAATATGTATAATTACTAGCATATTGATAGCCAAGCCGATTTACAGTAAAATTCAAGATTTTTCTTTTGGATAAACTCTTTAGACAAAGTGGCAAATACTGAGTGTTCTAATTTCTCATTTGTAACTCTAAGTAAGTGCTTAGAAGTAAACCAAATGAACATTAAATATGATGCACAATTACACAGCTGGGGATACCATTATCCTTTCCTAGAGCAGTGGGAAGTACAGATAGCTTCAAATAGCTTCAAGTTCTGTATGAGAGCTGCCCCCTGGAAAATGACCAACCTAAGTGATGACTACCCAGTGCTAAGCTCCGCATGGCCATCACCCTCTATGTTCCCAACTGTGTACACACATGCATTAAAGATGGCATGACTAGTGGATGGGTAGAATTCTCACGTGATGGAGTGTACTATACGGAACTGAAGTTAGCCTAGAAAGCAGGCAAGGAAATTCCCTCTGAAGTTCCCTAATACAAAGGAAAGTAAAATTCACCCCTAATCTACGCATGTGAGAATATCATTTCACCCTGCATATGATCTAGAGGAGGAGACAAAGTAGAGTAGATTCAGTTCCTTAGATCCATTGCCCAGTGTCCAAAATGATGCCTTTAGTTTTCAACCAGGTTTAATGAAAACAGGAGGAAATATATATATATATATATATATATATATATATATATATATATATATATATTTAAATCACTAAAATAAAAAGGAATACATTTTCAACTAAATCAAATTTTCATTTTTATTTATTTATTTATTTATTTTTTACCTTACTCAAAGTAACACAGTTAGTTCAATCTTTCAGAATGACAACCACAATGACTTAGACCAGCACAAAAGTATCTAAATTTAGGACCTGACATAAACCCAAAGAGCCACCTAAAAATGTCTTACTTTCGTTTAATGGATAGATCCCCCCCCCCCCCCCCCGAGATGAAGATGGTGAGGAAATGGTTGCTTGTCTTTGGTAGTTATCATTGTGATGGAGTACAGAAGAGGCTGCTATGCCCTGTGGCCTCCTTTAACTCCTCCCACATGGACCACCTCCTTGCAGCCTATGTCAGTGGGTGGGGAGGTACTCCACCCTTCCTGCTCAATCTCTCTCTAGACCTCTTCAGAAAACTCCTCAACCAGTTGAAAAGGTCAGAGACCCTGTTTTCTTGCTGAGACAACTCTAAGTCTGGGCTGAAACTTCCTTGCGGATGACTCCAGGCTTTCAGAGGAAGGTTGCAAAGTATTTTGATTAGTGTTCCCATCTGACAAGGGGATGGGATACTGGCTAGCGAGACTATGTGATGCTGATAATTGCTGCTCCCTCCCATAGCTTGCCAAGCAGTCTAATAAAGTTCTCTAGTGTCAGGGCTAGGATTTAGGAGGACAGCACTGATATTCCAAGTCAGGTGTGAGAACTCACTGTTCTTATCCAAAAGCGGGGATTGGGAAGCAGGTTTGACAATTGCTGGGATTTTATCGTCTAATGACTGCAGTTAGGTACATTTTTAAAGAAAGCATTTCCCAAGCTATTTGGACATTTCATAAGTATTTGCTAGCTTAACTTCAAATATGACCAAGACATATAACAGAAATGTCTTTAAAAAATTAAGAAAATTCCAACAAAAATCTTTAGTATTTTAGGTTATAAACTAATCATGTTTCTGAAATAAAAGCTAATTTAATTTAAATGGAAGGTATAGGCCACATATTTCTGTCTTAAAACTAAAATCTTACAGTATATAATGTTATTCCTTTTTCCTTAAACAAGAACAAAATGTAACAAGAATGATGGATTACTCTGGTTGGCTTGTCTTGGGCCCAAGCAGAATGCTTATTACATCTCCCTAAAAAGAAAAAAAAAACATAATTACAAGACAATAAAATTCAATCTGAACAGTAAAGCTGTCTTTAAAATGCCATTTGAATTTTGTAAGTTAGATGTTCACATCCAGTGAGATTGTAAAAGAGGAAACAAGCAGGGGAAGGTCTAAATAATGACACTTGCTTCCTGGCATACAGCTAGCTGCTTTCCTAGGAAAGTCTCTTTTAATGAAGCTTGACAAACAATTTTACAAGGATCTGATGGAAGGGAGGTCAGTTTTAGCGCCTCCTGTTTACCTTCGCGCCTCTGAGCCTGAGCTGGCTCACCTGCATTGCCAGTTGCTTCCTGACCTGTCGATGGTTGACTTAGAAACTGGCTTCTTGATGTTCATGTGGGTCTGTACTGAAACTCACAAGATGATCACACACAAGGGGAAGGAAACCAAAGATGCAGGGGAAGAGCACAAGAATTTATAGTGAAAGATGGCAAGACCAAAGAGCCGCATTCCCTCTACCACCAGGCAAAAGGGATACCCAGAAAATCGGCATCAGAAGGCTATGGGAGGTGGAGATGCCAACCGACTGTATCTAAACTCTATAGACCAAGCAGCCCCCATGCCTCAGAAGTCAGTTGCCACCCTCTGGCCTGTACTGTACTTGCCGCCTTCAATGTGTCCTCAGCCTACAGCGTCCAGTGTAACAATGTAATGCCTGGCTATTTCTAACCTTCATGTGTGCCTCACTTCATGTGTGCTGTCCACTTCTGCTCTGTCTCTCACTTGGGCTAAGGGAATGGATCAGGCCCTGTCACATGGTGCACACTCAGTAGGTATCACATCAAAGAGTGCCTTCAGTATCTTTCAACTGTAGCCTATTCTATTACATGGCTATGTTTTTAAACACCCCATCTTTTAAATATTCTCCTTTAGTTAAGATAAAGTATATATACCCCAAACAGAGGAAAATAAGGCAATTATCTACACACTGAGTCATAGTAGTCAATGATGAGCAATACAAGAGCAATCTCTAGAGATTAATCATGGAAAAGGTTTCTTCCTAAAAGGCCCACAAAATTGACGTCCACTGAATTCCTAAACCATAACTCTTTAAAGCAAAACTTAGATGTCTAGTGATTGACTTTCATCATATCAAGAGGGCTGGTGCTTCTGCCATCATGAAAGATGAAGGGGTGGCACATCCTATCAACAGTTACCTATACTACAGAGTTATAATTGCAATGAGAGAAAGAACATGTGGCCCAAAAACCCCATACCAATCCACTGGACACTTCTCTATCACACCGGGTACCACAAGGGCTACATGGTAGCATTGTTTGATTACAGAGTACATATCCATCCAAATCAACAAACATGGACTGCAGAGATGGCTCAGAGGGGAGGGGCACTTGCTGTGCACGCATGGGGACCCTGGTCCAATCTCCAGAACCTACATAAAAAGCTGGGCATAGCACTGTGGGTGAGTGGAAACGGGAGGATCAGTAGGAGCTGCTGACTGCCAATCTAGCCCCAGCTTCAGTGTGAGTCAGTCGGTCTCAGGTGAACAAGGCAGTAACAGAGCACAAACACAGGCATGCATGCAGACACATACATCTCACACACACACACACACACACACACGCGCACACACACGCGCGCGCACACACGCGCGCGCACACACACACCCCTAGTCAACAAAGGTCACTTTTCCTTGCACATTTTTTTTTTAATATACAAGAACTTTCCTATTAAAGTAAAAGTATGTGTAGGTGCACGTGTTGACTGTGTGGAAATGAGAGTACAACTCTGTGGAGTCAGTCTCTCCTCCCCATCTATCTTTACATGGATTCAAGGAATTGTACTCAGGTTGCCAGGCTTGCACAGTAAGCATCTTTATCTGATGAGCTACCTTAGCAGCTCTGAAGTTTTCTTTGTGTACCTTCCTATCCTATCAATATAGACCCATGATGTCTATAAACAGATTCATTGTTTCCTTATTCATGTGTCTTCAATTGTTTCTTTTCATTTTTTATTCTTGTGTCTCTCTCTGTATGATGTGTGTGCATGGGGGTACCCTTGGATATATCCTATACCCTGGAGCTGGAGTCATAGGCAGTTCTGAGTTGGCTACCATGGATCCTCTGTAGGAGCAGTGTGCACTCTTAACCCCTGAGACACATCTGCAGCCCTCAGCAGTGTATATTTCACACCATTACCAATGAAATAAAACCCTGGCAGATACACAGAACCTAGGGAGGCAGCAAATAAATGTCTAAATGTTGGAGCCTGACCAGATAGTAAAAGTGCCATGATAAATAAATGAACCAGAGTCTGCCAAGTGAGGCACCAAGGTGGTGTCTCTTCCGTGAGAAGCTGCCTCATCACTCCTAGCCAACACTATTTTATACGCATCTCAGCCAAATAAGTAGGATCTAAATGTACTTATAATGTTACTCTTTTTATGCTGATAAAAAGTATCATGTACAAAGTCAAACATAATTTTAACATTTTCTGCATGAACAATTCTTTACGTACTAGGTATTTAATATTTACTATTATATATAAAAGAATTTTTTCATATCAGGTCTCCTGCCATTTGTTGTGTAATTGTATAACTGGGCAATCTAGACTGATGCTCATATACTGAAAAACACAGCGAAAGTGTACAGTCTACTGGGATTTCCATGTTATATAGCACTTGAACCTCTGCTATTTGAGGGTTAGACTAAGCCATCCTTCTACACATAAAGGTTGCCTCAAGAACACCTAAGAAAGAAAAATAACTTCACATCAGTATCCTTGCTGGCTAGTTAACATTAATGAGAACCTATCGCCTAGTTATCAGGACTTCTGTGGTATGTTAGCTTTCTGTTTTATTGAAATGCTCTCCAAAGAGGCTAACATGAATACATACGTACATGTATATTCTCACAACCCTTGCTAACATTTGATGTTGGTAAGATTATAACCATTCAATCAATGTTAACTACTATTTTACATAACTTTAGCTGTGTATTTCATAAATGCTAGTGAGGATGAATATGTTTTGATAGTGTAGATTCCTCTTCTGTGAATTAATATTTTATATATCTATTCATTTAAAAAAACATTGGGCTTACGTTTTCTGGTTGTTAGAGTTCTTTACATATACTAGAAAAGAAAACAAATGACTGAACTGAAAACCTAAAATTCATTCATGTTCTTTCCCTTTAAGAAATGATATTTGCAATATATTCTGATTTCTTAGAGTTTTTCAAAGCGCATTTATTCAGCAAACATTCGCCGTATACTCCTGTTGCTAAACTGAGTAATGGAAATATAGCCTAGCCCAAAATAGGCAAAATCCTTGTTTTCATGGAGTTTGCATTCTAGTTTGGAGGCATATACAAATAACTTTTTAGATAAATAAATAAGAGTATAGAATATTGAAAGGTGAGAGCTATCAAGGGAAAATAGTGATGGCAAGGGTTAAATAGAGAGTGTGGCGAGAACAGAGATTACAGTTTTAATTAAATAAGACAATAAGGAAATCTTAACTGAGAAGGTCATTTTAGCAAAGATCCCAGGTAGGTGAAGGAACAAGCCCTGAGGGGTTTAGGCAGAAAGATGGTAAGTAAAATGTTCCAAGAATGGAATTACTAGTTCAAGGCGATCCGCCCTCCCCTGAAGAGTTCTCACTGTTAGTTTCACACTGTCAAATTGTTTCCAAAACAGTACACCAGTTTCCAGCCCAACCGTGATATTAAAGGACTTGGCTTGGCAGATGTTATCTGCTACTTAGTAGGCCCATACCCATTCCAAATAAACCTGTCGAGTACACATTCTAAACAAACCTGTCGATTCGATTGCGAGATCATACTGAATTTTAGTTTAGAAACTTTTAAAGGTATATTAAATCACATTTTTGTAAATGGCTGTTCTTCACCTGTGCCCACTCTTCTATTGGACTCAGTGTTTTGTAGACTGTTATTTATGTGGTTTTTACTGTTTTAACATTTTTCATATCAGGATATTTACCAGATTATTATTTGCAATAACAACAAAAACGAAGAAAAACTGAAAAAAAAATCTATCATAAAAACAATGTGCATTGATGATACTGAGCTTTTTGTCAAAGTTGGGCAACATAACACTCACATTTGAGTATCTGCATAGGGTACAACACCAGAGACCGATTCTCATTTCAAGAACAATCTCTGAAGACATTTACTTCAGCTACACCTACTGTCCAAACCTGGGTTACACAGTTCCTCCCCAGTGTCTAAGGCCCTTATATGGTGCCATCATATTCTCCATTATTTATCTTCTATAACTAAGGAACTTAGGCTGAATGAAAACGGGCTTTGGTGGACACCATGTATAGTAGTACAAGGAGCGACTCTTGGAATTGCCACACACCTCAAGCCCTCCACTTACTAAATGTACATCCATGACACGCTACAAAAATCACACTCCAACAGATTTACAAAAATTTTGCATCCGAGTCTTACCCGGCCACTCTCTGAAGCAGTAGGCATATTTCTCAGTTCATAGACTGCAACCTGCCCATCGCTATCTCCTACTAGAAGGCAATCTGTCTGTTTGGCAAAGAGAATAGTTGTGAACTTGATTCCAGGGTTAGCAACATTCACAATCAGAGGGTCCAAACTGTAATGAAATAGTTTATCTGTAAATTTAGATGTCACATTAACGTGATCTTTTAAAAGATACAAACTGAAGAAAAGGTTTGATTTTTAAAAACATTGATGTAACAAACAAAAATGCCCCTAAAGTGTTTCCAAATTCAGAATAACTTTTTCTCATCATCAAAAGCTTCATTTCTCCAACAAGCCAATTGTATCCAGGCAAATTTAATTCCTAACCTAAATGTGAACACATAAACTTAGTTTTGTGCTGCTTAATTTTGTGTGTCAACTTGGTAATACTATAGACCAAATAGAGTTCTTCAGTCAAACACCTATCTGCCATCACTCAAAGTTTTTGTTCTTTCTGTCTCTGCTTATCTCTGTGTGTGTCTCTGTCTCTCTCTGTATGTGTATGTGCTCTCAGCTGTGACTAACATTACTATTACAATTTAAACAAAGCTCCCTCCCTTCCACAACGTGAGTATGCTTAATCAAATTGAAGGCCTGAATGAGAAAAGACTGCGGCAATACAATTCTGCCTGGGAAATGCCCCTCCTTGTGTATAGCAGGCAAGGCCCTACCACAGGCCACCATAATTATGTCCTCATAGAAGAAAGTTTGAATCTACATGAACTGCTGGAGTGTAAGTCTGCCTTCAACTGAGACCACGGCCTTAGTCTTGGTCATGAAAACAACTACTTGTGGTCTTAAAAAAAGGAAAGGCAGCTTCATTCTTCTGTTTCCAGAGAAGTGTTGCCCTGGAAACTATAGTTTTACTAGGAAAGTTAAAACCAAGGCATGGGTTATTTAAATAGCCATTCTATTATATAGGTCATGTATTCAAAAGTAAATCCATCCTATAATGTCGTACTTGAGTTGTGGCTGGCACTGTTGGAGCCCCAGCACTCCCTACCTGATGACGAAGCTATAAGAGTGCTATTTTGAACTCTTTCTGCTGGCGACATCATTCAAAACATTACCATTCGATACGTACGTGCTGATCTGAAGGTCCCAAATCTCTACTCTGCTCTCATTTGCAGCAGCAAAAATATAGGCAGATTTTGGAGACCAGGCGACATCATAAACAACGAAAGTAGTTGGGTAAAAACTCAAAAACGGCTTGAGAGTCTCCTGACGCCAGACCATGACACCCCAATCTGCAGAGCAGCTCAAGAAGACATCAGGACAAAATGGGTTCCACGTGACTTTATACACTGGACCCTGGGAATGCAAAATTGTCATGCATAGGTAAAGAATATTTAGCATCTATATTTTAAACTTGGCCAGTTACTAAGTTAAAAGTTACTAAGATTACTAGTAACTTTTACTGCACACATCGCTGAGCATTACTGCTTTAGTTGACAGAAAGACTGTAAATTTAATCTTCCTTTAATTATTCTATATAAAAATATACTTGAGAAAATAGCCAGTAACTATTAACACGTATTACAGCCTCCTGAAAGGATATCAGATGTTACAAAATAACAAAGAAATTTGGAAGAGATGATCATAAAGAGACAAAGAATTAATATGAGCAAGAAACAATGTTTCTCTGGGATCAGTACATATACTTATTCAAGAGGCTACTATTTCACTGTTGTACAAATTGCATCTGTTAAACACATTGTATATGCCTTTCAAAAATACCATGAGATACAGTTTCCAAGTCTCCTAGAATTAAGCTGACCTTGTGTCCTCTATAGGTCTCTAGGTATTGCTCATTGTAAGAACAGGAACACTTGTGAATAAGGCCTTCTTCTGTGCCAACCAGATAGATATTGGTGTCCTAGAACATAGGGCATATCAGGCATTAAAGACAAGATCAGCCAATTTAACATATAACAAACCCATTCGATAACCAAAAGAAATACTATCTTAGATGTAATTTTTGTCCTTGTCTTATGATTTTTTTTTTTACAATGACCACCTCAAAGTAGGGAGATTTTTGTAACAGCACAAACATGTTAACTTATGAGATGAGAGAACATGTGCTTGTAAAATAGTCTTTATGAGGTGAAAAGAAAAGCCACATAACAGGACAATATATTTGTAACATATGCAACAGGTTCTAAAATGTACTAGAGTTTACATGTGTTGATATGAAAAAGATCTTTAAATAAAATGGTAAGAGAAATGATAGAGGAAACATAGGTGGCCAATAAGCATAAATATCCCAGTCATCCATGAGGCTTAAAACCATGCAAATTTTAAAGCCATTTGAATGACAACATGTAAGATTTCTGTTGTAACCAACCTCAGTGGTGTAGGACTCAGGTAGCTGAGCCCACCTTATAAGTTAGCATTTTTGTGCTTTTACAAAATCCCCATACTCTGAGGTCACAGAGCTATTTTCCCACATCACCCTCTTGGTTTTTTCTCTGCTTCATCCCTGCTCTTCTTTCCTCCCTTTACTTAAACTTGCTTCCTTCCCTCATTTCCTGCTCTATGAATTTCCTTATTAATTTAGCATTTTAAATTTTACTCTAATTTTAAAAATCATAAATAACATTTTCATCACTTCCTATCCCATGGCATTTGACGATTCAGTAATTCACTTTAACTTTAGAACAGATGATCATAAAGAGATTTTTAAGTGCATTTAAAGAGATGATAATTGTGTTAACGTATTTGAGTTAGTGTGGTGTTATGTGGCTGATTTGTTCCACTCTGAATGGTGCTGTGGACTCACTCTGAAAAGAACCCCATTTATCAAGAAGATTCCTGAATAAAACCAGAAGAAACATCCATTCCAACATATTCATAAATTGAAAAACAGACACATAAGAAACAAAAATTAAGATGAGATTCAACCAGAAAATAATAAAAACCTCAGTTGTCAAATACAAAGGCACTAAAATGGCTAAGATGCTGAACCAAGAATTCAAATCTACTTGAAAAAATGATAATGATGCCAATATGGGTACAAAAAAGCAGATGGAGAACTTATGAAAGTCAATTCAGGAGCTGCTGACAGAGGTCAGCAGCATGGATGAGAAAGTCAGCTACAGCTGTTAAGGATGAAAGCCCACAATGAAGAGAAAATTCCACAAATCAGGCATCAATCAAAAATAAACAACATGTAAAAAAGTAAATAAACAGTATGACTGCAACTCCTGTGAACTTCAGTAGTAATATATGCAACATGAAAAATTAAAAACTCAGAGACATATATTGGGGTTCAAGCTTCAAGCTGAAGATCAGAGAGGCAAAACAGCCCAAGCCACTAGCTCTTACCTCTACCTCAGGCTGAAAGGACTGTCCTCTCCTCAGCCTCAGCTTGGCTGGAGAATAAATCTCCACATGAGGTCTTTTGTTTTCTTCTTTTTATACCTCCCTAGTGCTGGGATTAAAGGCATATGATCCCAAGTGCTGAGATCATCTTTGTGTGAGCTGTTTCTCTTTAAGTTTGGATTAATTTCATGTAGTTCATTGTGGTCTTGAACTAACAGAGATTCATCAGCTTCTCTCTTGATTCCTAGGATTAAAGGTATGTGCCACCACTGCCTGGCTCTACGGCCAGCTAATACGGCTGCTGGGATTAAAGGTGTGTATCACCATTGTCTTGCTCTGTGGCTTGGGACTAGCTTTGCTTTCTGTACCCTCAGGCAACCTTTAGTAAACCATACATAATATATTGCCACAAAGAAAGCAAACTTGTGAGTCCATGGGGCAGAAGATGGTAAAACAAATAAACCAAAAACAAAAAACACTAAACACACACACACACACACACACATCCTCTCTCTCTCTCTCTCTCTCTCTCTCTCTCTCTCTCTCTCTCTCTCTCTCTCTCTCTCTCTCTCCAAAGACAGTTTCCCAAGATGGAAAATGGGCATCCAAGTACAAAGGGTATTTAAAACCCTAAATAGACATGACCAGTAAGCATTGTTTTCACAGGACTTTAAAGGCTGCAAAAGAAAAATGCCAAATGCATGTAAATGACAACAGATCATAGTAACATCACACTTCTCAGCAGAAACTGTAAAGGCCGAGAAAAACATGTTGATGTATTTCAAGGCCAGAAATGGGTAACTGTAGAACAAGACTACTATAAGCAGCTGTTGTGGACTGAATACAAAATGACCTCCTAGGGTTCTTATGGTGGAACATTTGGTTCCCTAGCTGGTGATGATGGTTTGGGGGGGCTGTGGGAGCTTTATGATAAAAGCTTTGATGGAAGGAGGAAGTCATGGAGGTTGGGCTTTGAGGTGTAATTACGCACCCATGTCAGGCCAAAGATCATGATCCACCGAGAAGTGAGAAAGCTGTTGCATGCCCCACAGCCGTGATAGAAAGAACTTCTGCTAGCCTGGATGATGTCATGCCTTCCCTACTATGAAACTGTGAGCAGAACTAAGTCTGTCTTCACTTAAGTTGCTTATGTGAGGTATTGGGTCATGGTGATGAGGAGACTTAAATAATAAGCCATCAAAGCTATCTTTTAAAGTGGATGGAAAAATAAAGGCTTTCTAAAATGAGCACAAACTAAAGCAACTCATGACCCTAACTAAACCTGCAATTCTGAAGTTGTGTGAAAGAATCCTCAACAAAGAAGAAGAAGAGGAGGAGGAGGAGAAAAGAAGAAGGAGAAGAAGAAAAAAAAAGAAGAAGAAAAACCATCTCAATCATGAGAGTACAGGAGAGAAAATAAACAGAAATAAACATACAATGGAAAGAAGAAATCATGTGCAGTTCTGGTTTTTTGTTTGTTGGATTGTTTTGGTTTTTTCTTTCTTTTCTTTTCAAGATATGGTTTTTCTGTGTAGTCTTGGCTGTCCTGGAATACACTTTGTAGATCAGGGTGGTTTTGAACTCAGAGACCCACCTGCCTCTGACTCCTGAGTGCTGGGATTAAAGGTGTGCGCTGGTTTTGTACAGCTCTGTTAAACATCAAACCCTTCTATATGAATGAGGGGGTGGCAAAAATCATTAAATCAATAAGAAAAGAAGTGAAGAAAATACAGGAATTAGGAATCCCTCTCAATAACAGCACTAAATGTAAATGGTCTTAACTTTCTAATGGTAAGATCCAGAAATACACCTCCTTAGCAAAAACACATAGTGAATAAGAAGGGTAAAAACCAATAGTTTAAGCAAGTAGAAGCCAAAGACAACCAGCAGTTGCATTCCTATCTAATAGACTCAAACCAAAATTACTCAGAAGGAATAAATGACTACCTATAAATTAAGATGTGTGTGTGTGTGCATGTGTGTGTGTGTGTGTGTGTGTGTGTTACACTTTCCTTGTTGGATATAATAGTGAGATAGAAGCTGTGACTCCTTTGTGACCCAGTGAAGAAGAAAGGCAGGATAAGGGGGGAAAATATACTCTGAATATAGGGAGAAAGAGATTCAGAAATCCATGAAGCTGTGAGATGAAGGCTAAGTTGTAACAGATCTCAGGATGGTGGAGATGCTGATCATGAGATATTCACCAAGGGAAGCTGCAGACATGGAGTGAAGCTGGGACACAGAAAGGCTGAGGTTGCTGAATGTGGCTGATACCAGTGGGAGTTGGGGGAGGGGCGCTATCCAAGCTCTTTGGAGCACAAAAGATTGCATCATGAGACCCAGGTACTGGACATGGACTTGCAGAGTTTGACATTTACCTTGCTGAGTTTTGGTCTAATGTTTCGTTTTTGTGTCCTCAAATATCCTGTTTGGAAAGTGCATGTGTTCTCTGTGCCATGTGTTTGAAGAGCCTAGCAAGGCTTTATTTTGTTTGTTTGTTTGTTTGTTTGTTTATGTCATGGGGGCTAATGGTGAAGAAAGATGGTCTACATCTCAGAGTATATTGATAGTTTTGAATAAGGCTGTTAAAGACTAAGGGTAATTTTTAGAGTTGGACTGAATGCAATTTGCGTTATGAGACGGCTGGACAGGGGGTAGAAGATTTATAAGTGATCTGTTGGGGTGTGAAGTTGATCAGGGAAGAATGGTAACAGAAAACTTAGTAGCCTTCCTACACATCAGTAACAAAGACACTTAGGAAGAAGTTGGGGGAACAATGTCACTCAAAGGGTTGGTTCCTTGAAAAACAATGACAAATTCCATATAAAATTAACCAAAAGACAGAGATGTAAATAAAATTGGAGATGAAAAGGGAGACCTCCAGCAGATTCCATTTAAATCCAGAGGATGGTCAGGTAATAGAAAACATATTCCAAAGAAAACCATAAAACCTGTAAGAAGCTGATGAAGACCAGCCTGAGCTACCCAAGACTCTGTCTCCACCCCTCCTCCCCTACTATAAAAAATGTGCATGACAGGAAAGTAGAAGTGTGATGATTTGGGAAGGAAGCAGACCAATGAAAGGAGAAAAGTGCTGGGGACACAGTAGGGATGGATATGAGGGAAATATACATGTCAGAAAATGTCAAAGCTTATTTCATGATCCTTGAAAACCTTTATTTAAAACTGTGGTAAGGAAGGACACTCACATCAATTGCCACGGTTTACATTTTTAAAAGTCAATAAGGGGCAAGAGAAATTTAAAAACCAATACAAATGGAAGAAGGGAAGCCACTAAGATCGAAGTGGGAACCAATCACACAGGAAACAGAAAAATGTTACTAATGTAAATTACATCAAAATCGTGCATGGAGGTCAGAGGACAACTTTTTGTTCCACCTTGTTGAGGCAAGGTTACCTTGGTGAATTGGACTGTCTCTACTTCCCGTTTTGCTGTAGGAGTATTAGCTTACAGATTCATGCCACTGTCTACAGCTTTTTACAGGGGCTCAGGGTTAGGAGTTGGATAAGTGCTTTCACCTCCTGAGCCATCTCTCTGTCCCACAAGGTTTCATTCAAATGAGGCAGGTAGTCGTATCACTAAAAAGACAGTGAGCATATGGAACTTGTTTCCTTACAAGTCTGCCATAGTGTTTGAGTCTCCTGATTCCCAAGTTCCTCCAGAAGAGCCAAACTGCTCTAGAAGAGTCATTAACTGCTCCCATGTCATCAAGGTCTTGGGAATCTGAACTCAAGTGGTCTTCATAATACCAATCCTGAGGGCTACCTCCCAAATTAAAATATAGAGCAGTACATTCTAGAGGTGATTCACCTAAGTGCAATAGAGTAGCAGAGTGGCTATGAGGGCGAGGAGAGACATGCGTAATAGGCATGTAGTTGTAAAGAGAATCAACTCTGCTACAGGTCTTCTCTACCCCTCTGCCTCATACTGGCAGCCATATCTACATTAGTCTGTGTGTGTGTGTGTGTGTGTGTGTGTGTGTGTGTGTGTGTGTGTGTGTATGTGTGTGTGCGCGCGCGCGCACAAACTGCACTCAATTTTTGGAAAGTATAACAGGTAATGGTAGATAATGGGTTGAAACAAACTTACCTTGGGGTGAAAAGCAAAGCACATTCCAGGAGCCTGTCGAGATATCAAAGCCTCGCCTTTCTTTTCCTTTTCCCCTCCCTTTTTGCTGCTGGTAGTTGTAGTTCGCCTCAGTCGCATCAGATCTTTAAGGAAAGAAATGTGTACGTATATATGTGTGCATCTAATACATATGTATGTAAACATATGCATACATTGCATGAAAAAGTACACTTAGCATTACATCTGTCTCTTTTGCAAATTAACTGTATGCATATGATTAGATTAAAATTGGGGCAAAACAAATCTGGATACTCAGAAAGCAAGGACCAACTTCAGATTTTTCACCTACAGACCAAGCCAAATTCTGTCAGCATCCACCCAGATGTGTTTCTCACCCGGCAGCTTAGTTCAAATCTGAGAGAATGGGCGTTTCCTCTGGTTTTTACCATGACAATCCAGCCCTTTGCGGATAATCCACTTGGAGATCCTTCCGTCAGCTGATATAGACACCAAGATTTCTCTTTTGTCGTCCCCTGTAGTTCCTCTGTCTTGCTCTATCCACTGCACTTGCCAAACAGGGCCCAGATGTTTTTGAGGTGACTCACTAAAACAGATGAAAATGCCAATAAAAATGATTTTAAAAAGATTTGGAAGACCTTAAGAATAACTTGCTAAAGAATCATTTTTCTACTCATACTATGGTGCTTTTATTGTTCAAATCGATATGGTTGGTTTTTTTGTTTGTTTTTGTTTTTTGCATTTACTCTGTGTGCCTGGGATGTGCATGTATCCCAGGGCACATGTACAGAGCGTCTGACAACAGTGCTGGAGTTCATTGTCTCTTTCATGCTGGGAGTCCCAGGGACAAAGTCCATCTCAGGTCCTCAGGCTCAGTGGAATGTGCCTTTACTGAGCCATCTCACTGGCGCCTTTTTTTTTTTTTTTTAAAAAAAAAATGTTTATTTAGTTATTTCCTTATTTATCTGTGTGCTCAAGAGCAATACATCTAAATAGTTAATCACTTTAATATTTATTATGGTGTTTCTTATTTCTTTCAAAAGGAATTTTTACTGACCCATAATCCTATTACCTTTAAAAAAAAAAAGGAGCACAAAAGAAAACATTTTCTTCTTAGAATCTATATATTTTGCTTTGTATACCCACTCTTTACACATGTTTAATAAGTCACTTTATTTTTATAGTTTCTTTCTCATTGTTCAGATCCATTAGTCTTTGGACTATTATTCAAATAAACAACCCCTGCCGCATTTCCTTCTTCCCCCTATACTTTTAGGATTACCCACTGGCTTGCTTCTGAGATTTAACTTTTTAAAAAAAAAAAATAAATAAAATTCTCTCTCAGATTATTGATTTTTTTCTATCTGATGAATAGAGTCCTCTATTCCTATTTTTCATTCCATTGATTATTTTACATAAACTTTCCAAGACCACAAATAGTTTTGAACTTACAGTAAAGGTTAGCTTTGAATATTCGGTTAAAACAAATATGGACCCTTTTCCTAGCAAAAAGCACCAGGGCCCACGCTGGCAAACCTATGCAAATAACTTCAGTATTAAGAACCTCTGCTTTAATGATTATAGCCAGTCTCCACTAAGCTTATCCAAACACTGCTACAAATATACCACCACATCCTAGCCCCTCTGAAATCTAACAAACAAACAAACACTTAACTCATTTAACTATCTTTTCTTTTTCCCTGCCTGTATTCTCCTTATAACTTACTCATTAATTCATTCCTTCTCAAACATGCAATGCTGGTGCAAGCTAAATATTTTATGGCATAATGAGGATACAGAAGAAAGCCTCCTCTTTGCTCTCTCACTGAGATTATACAGGACCTCAGAAAGATCTGCCAGACTGTCTACTCACCAACAAACAGTCTGTGTAGTATGGTTAGCATTAAGATTAAGGTGCATGGGGTACACAAAAGAAAACAATGAAGTTTCTTAAGAGGAAATTATATCAAAGCAATAGTTTAAGAATATCCATAAGCCACTAAAACAAGTTTGTTAGTAAGGTAGGCAGAGAAGAGTACGAAGGAGGTAAGGAGTATGAAATCCTCCAGCTGGAGGCATCAGGAAGAAGCATTCAACATTTTGAAAACAATGGCACTATATTCTCAGTAAGAACAGAGTATTCACTTAAAGTAAAAGCATTCGCTCTTATAAATGTTCCTGGAAAAACAAGCAAGCATGCATTGCTTGTTTGTTCTTCTATTCGGTGGGTTCTCACCTACTGTCCAGAACTGGAGTGTTATTGCTGCTCTGTACGTTGTAAATGGCAACCGTGCCATTGTGGTAGCCAACTGCTAGCAGGTTAGGTGTGCCGATTGAAAAGTCCACAGAGGTAACTCCATATGCACTCTGATAAATGCGCTCTGGCCACTGTGGGGGGAAATGTTCTAAGCCTTTTTTTACAGATCAGAGTAAGGCAGCCTATGATGGCAGCTGAGGCTGTCTTGAGCCGAGGGTGGGGTAGGTTGGGGTGGGGAACCTGAAAAGTTAGTCTGCCTGCCTTCAGTTACTCCTGGCCATAGCTTCTAGCAAACGTGAAAACAAATCTTCAAACAGTCATTTCCTTGACTTACTATAAAGCATTAGTCCTCAATGGCTTTATAAATACATCACAGATTTCAGTATAAGCTGTCACACTTGGTAATCGTCTAGCAGGGTCCAATGTGGCCAGCACATAGTTCCCTCCTGATAGAAGTACATAATGAGCTACAAGCAGATCACTCGTCTTCTGCCATTTGCTTTAGAAACCTGGATTGTTTCGTTATTTCTACAAAGCAAATAGAAAAAAAAATCCTCCCATACTCTCCAATCTGTTCCTTTTTGACCACTCTGTCCTGGCTGGACTAAATCCTTTCCTCTGTCTAATCCCTGTGTGGAAAAGGAGACATGTTACCAATGATGGGTTCTGCCACCCCTCCCGCTGTTTAACTAGCCTACTCTTCTGTGTGTTAACCACATGGCCTGACGGACTGTGGCTACTCACTGCATATGCTCTTTAACCCTCCATGTTTTCAGCTCCACATTTCACTTCTGAGTTAAATTAAATGTAAAGCTACACAGCAGTAGATGGATGGAGCAGGGCTATTTAGTTAAAAGCCCATTTGTCATCCTTAACCTTTCTCCTTACACATTTCATACTGTTATTAGGCTAGAATTATGGGTAGCTAGATATCTAGATTTATTGATAGGGTTACCTACTGGCTTGATTCTTTGATTTAATATATTTTTCTGAAAAATATGATTATTAAATGGTATTTATGGCTGATGCTAAGACATGTAATGACTGCTCTCCCATGAGAAGGCCACACTGTACCTGGGTGTCTTATCTTAGCCTGAGTCTCTTCCTCTAGATGTTTGCTCAAATATTTGTTTAAATGTTTTTTAATAAATACCTTCTCTTTTTAAATTAAAAATATATGATTATTTCTCAGATTATTAACTCTTTTTCTACTGGCTGAATAGAGTGCTCTATTCCTATTACTGATCCCCTTGATTACATGTGGTTTTTTTTTCCCCCAAAGGGTCTTCAGTTACAGGTTCCTTTATACTTAGCTGTGATGACCCAGTAAATAAAAGATGCTTGGGATGCACTGTGTGAAGTCATGAGTGATTTCCCTTCACCCCGTGTAAAACAAGAACAATCTGTAACTATTATGAATTTAAACTAAAGAAAACAGTGAGGATGAGGGAGATGGTTCTGTTGCTAAAGATCTTGTCTTTTCAAGTAAGAAGACCTGAATTCAATCCCCAGAAGCCATGGGGAAACGCTGGGTTCCAGTGGCATGTATTTTTAATACTGGCATTGGTAGGCAGAGACAAGGGGATCCAAGACAGTGAGAGACCCTGACTCAAAAACAGAAGGTGAATGGCACTGGGTCAACAATCTCAGGACAGTGTGCTCTGACCTACACACACACACCACACATACACACTTGAACACACTCATACACTCACACACACATACACTCACAACACACACACACACTTACATACATTCACACATACACACATGCACACACAAGTGCATGTGTACCTGCACACGTAGGCATTTAGACATGTGAACACACATAAGTAAGTGGAAAGTCTTGACTGGCAAAATAGTTTGGACTTTGCTGAATCACTATATACAACTACACATTGAGCAAAAACCCTGTCAACATTTAATGAGACAAAAATATTCTTATTCCTGTTTGGGTTACCATAGGGTTCTTTATTGACCAGCAGCAAGCCATTCCTCTTTTTTGCTCTTTAAATCCAAAATTTCCATAGCCAACAGCCAAAAGATCCTGAAAACCAGAAAAAGACACTTGAAAGGATGGCAGGAAATAGTAGCAAATGCATAAAGATATCTACTAATGAACTATTAAAAATACTGGTAAAACAGAGGGCGAGGGCTGGGGCTGCAGCTCAGTGGTAAAGTGCTTGATTAGTATGTACAATGCTTTGAGTTCAAACTACACTAAGTATCTATTCCAAAGATACATGTTGTGGAATATTATTTTAAGATGTGTTACTTTTTTATGCTGTGGAATACTGGTTTAATGATGCAAAGATGTATTGCATTCTTTTATGTTGCATTTGTTTAACTCTGTGAAGCTGTGTTACTTTGCCTGTCTAAAACACCCGATTGGTCTAAAAAGAGCAGAACAGCCAATAGCAAGGCAGGAGAAAAGATGGTTGGGGATGGCAGGCAGAGAGAATAAATAGAGGGATAAAAAGAGAGATTGGAAAGCAAGAGAAAATCAAGGAGAGAGAAAAGAAGGGGCCAGCCACCCAACTACCCATCCAGTCATGGAATAAGAGTGAAAATAAGATACACAGAAGGAAAAAGCCCAGAGGCAAAAGGTAGATGGGATAAGTTAAAATAAGGAAAGCTGGCTAGAAACAAGCCAAGCCACAGTTGGACATTGGTAAAGAATAAGGCTCCATGTGTGATTTATTAGGGAGCTGGGTGGAGGGCCTCCCAAAGAACAAGAAAGCAAAGAGCCAAAAGAGTTAGAAAACAACCAACTACAGAGATAGTCACTCCTGAAATGATATTTGGAGTTGATAGTTGGGGAATATTTTCAGGAACATTTCATAAAACCCAAGAGGACATCAGTCAGTTTTGTTACTCTATAACTATTTCCCTTTAAAAGCAAATAAATCAGTTCCTAGTTCTAAGTGGTTCTTAACCTTCCTAATGCTGAAACCCTTTAATACATTTAGTTCCTCATGTTGTAGTGACCCCCAAACACAATTTTTTTCTGTGATACTTCATAACTATAGTTCTGCTACTGTTAAGAATCTTAATATAAATACGTGCTTTCTGGTGGATCCGACTCATACAGGTGAGTTAGCACGAGGCTAGAGAGATGGATCAGCACTTACGAGCATGTAGTGTTCTTCCAGAAGACCTGAGTTCAGTTCCCAGGCCCCAAACTGTGCTCACAAACACCTCTAACTCCAGCTCCAGGGGAGCAGTTTTCTAGGACATTGCACTCAAGTACACACATTCACACACACACACACACACACACACACACACACACACACACACACACGCGCACCTTAAAAGAATAAAAATAAAATATTTTCCTAAAATCTTTAGTTTCTGACACATACAAAGTGCTGCCTCTGCATTTAATAGTACCACAAATAGTATTACTGAGGAATTCCATAAACGTTTTGCACATTGGCGCAATCACTGCTTTAAGCACACCCTTTCAAATATGACTGCTTGGAGGGGAAGAAAAATGTAGATACATAAATTTTGGTACTCATATTTTCTAGTACATATCACATCATCTGATGAAGACATGGGTGGTACCATGTGCCAAGCACACTCTTAAAGATGCTAATGTGTTTTTATATGTGAGGTGAAAAAAAATAACTATTGCCTCTTCTGCTTTTTCAAACATAAACTTCATTCAGAGTAATTTTTTCCTTTTTTAATTTAAATTAGAAAAATTTTATTTATCAACCCTAGTTCCCTCTACCTTCTATCCTCCCATGCCCCCTTCTGGCCCCCACCACATTCCTCTCCTGCTCCATAGAGGCCTTCCATGGGGATCATCAAAGTCTGTCACATCATTTGTGACAGGGCCTAGGTCCTCCCCATGTGTCTAGGCTGAGAGAGTATCCCTCTATGAAGAATGGGCTTCCAATGGCCATTCGTACACTAGATATAAATGCTATTCCCTTACTAGGGGCCCTATAGACTGCCCAGTCCTCCTAACTAACACCCACGTTCAGGGGATCGGGGTCGGTCCTTTACTAGTTTCCCAGTTATCAGACTGGGTCCATGAGCTCCCCCTTGTTCAGGTCAGCTGTTTCTGTGGGTTTCCCCAGCCTGGTCTTAACCCCTTTGCTCATCACTCCTTGTTCTCTGCAACTGGATTTCAGGAGTTCAGCTCAGTGCTTAGCTGTGGGTGTCTGCTTTTGTTTCCATCAGTTACTGGATGAAGGCTCTAGGATGGCATATAAGGTAGCCATCCATTTCCTTATAGAGGAAGGGCATTTAAGGTAGCCTCTTCACTATTGCTTAGGATCTTACTTGGGGTCATCCTTGTAGATCTCTGGACATTTCCAGATTTCTCTTTAAACCTATAATGGCTCCGTCTATTATGGTATCTCTTTTCTTGCTCTCCTCTATTCTTCCCCTGACTCAATCTTCCTGATCCCTCATGACTCCCCCCCTCCTCTAGCCTTCGCTTTCTCCTAACTCCCTTCCCCCCCACCCCCACCCCGTGCTCCCAATACAAGCCCCCTCTACCCCCACCGGAGAAGGGAAAAGAGACAAGATCAACTTAGATCACAAATCAGAGGCATTTTAAAGCTAGCTGTTATAGCTGTTATGCCTATGTCATGAGCCCCCCACAGACCACCAGGAACCCAAGTTCATATGCAAAGCAAAGAGCCTTTATTGCAAGCTCCAGCTTGGGCTCTCCTTCTGCTCTGACACATCAGGGTGGATCCGGGAGAGCACTGAGCTCAGCTATGGAAGGGTTTTTAAGGAGTGAAGGTTTTTAAGGATTCAGACAGGGATTGAACTCCTGATTGGACAGGAGTGGGGCAGCAGGAGTCTTGTCAAACAGAGGTTGGTGCTGGGGTTGCTGCCAGGAAGCTGGCAAACTATATACAAGTTAGGTACCCAATCTTAATGTTCTGCAGCATCTAGTATTTGTCTCAATTCTAATCAGTCCCCGGCAGGATACAGTCTGTGGCTTTTCCTGGTTATTGCAAGGGTGAGTCCTAGACCCAGTATTGTTAGCCTGTCATGGCTGCCCTGATGTTAAGTTGGGCCTCCTCTGTAGGCAGGTTAAAGCCTTTGGCCATGGCTGAATAAAAACAAAGAAACAAACAAAAACCCTTCATGTTAGAATTTGCCAGTGAGGCCAGCAAGATGACTCAGTAAGTAGAAGCTTTTTCTGCACATGCCTGATGACCCGAGTTCAGTGTTCAGAACCCCCCCCCCCAAAGAAAAAGACTGAAGTGATGGATCACATTAGTAATTCCAGAGGTGGAGAATCATCTGGACATTCACTGGCCAGCTAGCCTGTACACACACACACACACACACACACACACACACCATACACACAAAATAATAAATGAAATTTGGCAAAAGAACTGTTTTTTAAATGCTAGGATGGAATTGTTAGGGTGTTTGGTGACTTACTGGATTTGCTTTATTCCAGGCAAGGCTGCTCACATTGAGGCCCTTGGTTAAGTCACAGGTGAAGGACCAGAGCCGTTCCAGGTTGGCTGGTATTGTCGACTGCTCTGTGGTTATCTCTAGTTCCAGTTCCGTTTCTTCTTCGTCATCCTTCTTGACCTCTTCCTCCATTTCCTCATGACTTTCTTCTTCCAAAACTTCTTCAGGCTCTCCAGGCTCATGCTCTGCAGTTAAATCGAACACAGGTACTGCTCTCCACACCAAAGAATCTGACTAGGTTCTCTGTCGCTGACACAACACCTCTAGGCCTACTGAAATACACAGTCAAAGTGACAGGGCACCTGAATGGTAACCAAGACCTACTGAAGCCTTCTGACAGCAGAGATTCTGGTCAGTAGGAGAATGCACCAGAGTAGTGCATCAGAATGCTGCTGCCTTGAAAATGCAAACCAAGCCTCATTGTAAGAGGAATAATAAAAATAAAAATAAAAAAACCCAGAGACTGATATTGGAGTTCAAGCTGAAGATCAGAAAACCAATGTGGACAGCCAGCTGTTTCTGTCATTTCCACATTTTTTTTTTCTTTTTGGAAGTCATTTGCTCATACTTCCTCTTTACTCAGCTAATATTATTTCCTTCTCTGGTCTCTGAGGGAGTTGAAGACTATATAGTTATACTTATAATTTTCCTTGTTGACCAGACTCAAAAAGCAAAACAAAACAAAACCTCACTAAAGAGGTGTAAAGTAAAAAAGTGGAGAGACATTAAAAGATAATTTGATAATCTGAATTACAATAGAGAATAAATTAGGTATAAGACTTTGGACCCACCAAGGTAGAATAGATAATGGAGTATTTTTTCCAAATTTGTCAAACGCAACTGGACTAGATAATGTTGATATACTTATTACCTGTATATATTGTACATAATTATTATACTTACTGTATATTGTTTTTCTTATGTTAGTTGTAGCCTTCTTTTTTGTGTGGTGATATATTTTTTATGATTTAATAAAGCTTGACTGGGAATCAGAATGCAAAGCTAGCCACAAGCCATAGAGACTAGGTGATGGTGGCATAGGCTAGAGAGGTATATAAGGAATTTCAGACTGCAGAGAGCACATGTTAAGGAAGTCTGGTTCATCAATTATTTTTTGAGGCATTGTGTTTGGGTAGTTTTACTTCAAACAACATTTAACCCCCAAGGTTATTGTTCCACCTGTGATATTTTCTAAGAATTTTTGCATTTTATGTTGGAGTCTATAATATATTTCAGCTATTTTTCTAAGGTCTGTGGCTAGATTTCTCTTTTGTTCTAACTCTGCTTGTTGAAAAGACTGCCTTTTCCCCCCTGTTGTATTGTCTTCCCCAAGATCATTTGACTAGAGGTCTGCTTCTAAGATCTCTAGATTGTTAATTCACCTATTTGTTTATCTTATCACCAACACTGCATTGTCTTAACTACTATGGCGTAATAGTAAAGTGTAAAGTCTCAGTTCTTCAACTTTGTTCTGCTCCTTCAATGATATAGTGAATATTCTAGGCTTTATGATTATTTAAAAAGCCTTGCTTCACCTCTTTCCTTACCAATTACTTTCCTATGTATTTCCTTTATTCTTTTGACATCGTTGATAGTCAGTGGTTACAACTGCATACTATCTTCCTTTTACTCGATTCCAACATAACATTCCTCTTTAAAATTGTTCTTTTGTACCTAACAAGTATTTAACACATACCATCATTGGGGGCAGCAAGATGGCTTAAAGGCTAAGGCAATTGCCACTAAGCCAAAAAACCTAAGTTTGATTCCCAAGACCAATGAGAGAACTGACCCCACAAAGCTATCCTCTGACCTTCACATGTGTGCCTTGTCACAGTCCCCTGCCATGTCACAGCATGTACACACCACACACACACACACACACACACACACACACACACACACTCACACAAATATCTTGAATAAGATAACAAAATTTTAGTATATGCAAAAGACCTAGTGGAATACTAAATGAAAAGTACACAAATTCCAAAATTAACTACAAGCATGCGGCATTCAAATCATTAGGACAACATTAAAAGCACTGTCATTCCCCACTCCCCAATTTGTGTGTGTGTGTGTGTGTGTGTGTGTGTGTGTGTGTGTGTGTGTGAATACCAATGGATTTAATTAAAGTTACTTACATAGGCAATGTATTGTATACAGGAGTATGTTTACCAGTGGCTATATTAATGAAAATCTCTGTCTCCCTAGAAACTATTAATATCATATAGATCCTCATGAAGGAGTAGGACTTCATGATTCCTCCTTCCTTGTAACAGGCAACTGCTATTTGGGAAGAGGAAAGTGATCAATGGGTGTGTGACATGAGAGGGTAGTGGGGGTAAATATGACACAAATACATAATATACATACATAAGATGTAATGAAACTTGTTGTTTATAATATATGATTATACAGTTTTTTTTAAAGTATAGCCAGTATCAACAGTGAGCATTTGGAGAAACCAGGACTCTTACATACTGGTTATGGAAATGTAAGACAATATGACTCCTTGGGAAAATATTTCACAGTCCCTAAAATGAAGCTAAACCCACATCCACCCAAATTGGGTAGATGCTTCCCAGTGCTAGGCACCTTCACAAAAGAAACTGAAATATACCTGCCAAAAGACTCAGTCAGAAACCTCAAATGGGACACAATGTAGACCCATCAACTGTTGAGTAAACAAATTATAGTATTTTCATGCACTGAAGCACTTCACTGAGAAAGAAATCAACCATTTATGCACACACCAATCTAGGTGGATCTCAACATCGGGAATGGTGAGAGAATCTAAACTTGTTTGTTTTCATTTTTCTATTATTATGTCTCTCTCTCTCTCTCTCTCTCTCTCTCTCTCTCTGTGTGTGTGTGTGTGTGTGCATGTGCACATGTGTGTGTATGCCTGTGTATGGGAACCAGGTGACACACAAGAGTCAGTTTTCTCTACCCTGTGTGTTCTGAGGAATAAAACTCAGGTTTGGTGGCAAGTGCCTTTACCCGATTAGTCATCTCACTGTCTCAAACAACAGTACTTATCATGGGAATACACTTGAATGATGTACCGCAACCGGGAAAGATAACTTGTGGTCACAGATAAAGTCAACTGCTGCTAGGGGGTGGGTGATGTTTGCATGCAACCAGCACAAGATAATCTTCATGGTTCATGGATATATTCTCTGTGTTGGTCAGGGTAGTAGTTATGTAACTTCCTTAATGTTCTAAACATGTTAAAAAAAAACAGTTTAAATATAAACATGCCATTTATATAAAGTGTACCCATTAAAATATTTGTGCTGTTATTTTAATTAGTAAACAAGTATTATACTAACAGTTTAGCTTTGTAAATGTCAATATTTACAGTAATTTAAATTGCAACTATACAACTCTTTAGATGTAGAATGGAACAGTGTACGTGATATACATTGTAAAATAGCAACCTTACATGAAAAAGGACCACGGTTTTAAAACATTATTCTAGCTTTCTCCAGCAAAAAGTTTATAACTATTTGCCACATATATAACTTTGTAATCTAATTGTTGATGTACTCACATAGGAGATTAACTTTGATTTGAGGATCCAAGAAGAGTTCATGAAAATTGGGACTACAATAGGAAAAGACATTACAGAGAAAGGAATGGACAGACAGATAGATAGATATCATTGGTCTCAGAATTCCAAAAACTTCCAAATAATACAATGACAGCCTCTGGCCAGATCTATTCCAGATAGATGTCTGGAACAACACAGAACAACATACTCTAAGACATGTAGCTGACCCTAAGCAAAGGAAAAGCTCTGAATAGTCAGAGCATTCAGTGGCCATAAGGGGTTTAGGAGTAATCTGCAAGGTAGGGTAAGTTAGCAGAAAGAATTAAACTTGGAATAAAATGACTCACAATATTACCTTTAGAAAGTTCATTTCATCCATGAGTTAAAAGGCTGAATTAATTTCTAAAAAAAACAAAACTGAACCAAAAAAAAAAAAAAAACCAAAAAACAAAACACAAACAAACAAACCAAAAAGTATTGAGGAAAGAAGTATAGCCAGAGGTATATATAGCTCAGCAGCAGAACTTGTACAAGGATCAAACGAAAAATAAATTTGTAAATTGCTAAAATAAAATACTCTGTGAACAGATAATAGGAAATCTATAGTACTGAGAATGGGAAGAATGTCCTTGCCACTAATATTAGGGAGTAATGCTGAAACAGTCAGAACCTGAGAGTTAAAGGCAGTGAAAAGGGAGACTAAACACGAAAACACTATAAAAAACAAGTACCTAATTTGATGCAGGAACAAGGAGAAAATAAGGACAAAAATGCTTTTGAAGTTTTCAATTTGAGGGACAATCCTTCTGTGGGCTCCCTAGTCTGGACTCTAGTGCTACTCATATGTTTGATAGGTAGTGAGTAAGTGATTTAAATTACATAAACATATTCTTTAATAAGTGGTAATTAGTGTGGAAATTACACTTAAAATTTTTGATAGTACAATTATTTTTTTTAATTATTTGTCTAAGCATAATTATTTTTTAAAAATACCTTTTAAAACAGGGAGTTGACGGTAGGCTGCAAGCTTTGGCTGAAATACATTTTCCATTAAAACCCTTTCCATGAAAAATAAGTCTTGTTGAAGCTTCTCAGATTTTAATATTGCCTCTGAATGGTCTTCTTCATCTTCATGAACTTTAGCAAGAATTACATTTTCTATATCCATTAAGGAACTAGTTTCACTATCTGTAAATAAAAACACAACTCACTTACAAAAGAGCCAAGTAGTAGTAGGTAGTTCATGAATTTTAAAGATATTTTTATAATTATATTTTATAATTTCTGTCTTCTTCCCATTTCCCACACCTTCAATAGTCATTTATTGAAACTTTCATGCCCAAAGAAAGTGCAATGCAAACATATAACTAATTGTGGAACTCTTAACCATCAAAAACAGAAAATAATTGTTTTTCAGAGAAAAGGCAGTATTAATCTTGAGGTAATATGCATACATGTTAGTCCATTACCTGGTAGTTTATCAGAAAACTACAGCTTAGGGAACTGGAGAGATGGCTCAGTTGATAAAGTTCTTGCTGTGCAAGCATGCAGACCTGAGTTCAGTCCCCAGGACCCATGTAAAAAGCTGGGTGTGGCAGCTGGAATCCCGGCACTAGAGAGGGAGACACAGGTGGATTCCTGGGACTCACTGGCTGGAAAGTTTTTCCATTGGTTAAGTCCTCAGGGCCTTGTGAAAAACTGTCTTAAAAGACAAGGTGTCTGAGGAGGAATGACACCAGAGGCTGTCCTCTAACATCTACAGACATGTATGCACATATACATGTGTACTCATGAACATGAACATATCCATGAACACTTATGAGCATATCCAAAAATCACTATGTGTTAGGTAATTTATGAAGACAAGAAATGTGTTTCTTATAGTTTCAAAGGCTTGAAAGGTCAAAGCCAAGAAGCTACAGTTGGTAAGGGCCTTCTGGTCAACCACTGCATGATGGAAAGCATCACGTGACCAGAAATATGACACGTGAGCGCTCAGATGAGTTTTCTTATAAAAGTAGTAATCTGAAGTAGGAACCCAATTTCCATGATGCCATCTAAGTCCAATATTGTCCCCGAAGCTCACTTGTAGATAAATTTCAGGATTAAATTTCTAGCGGATGAACTTGGGGGTGGGGCACATTCAAATCATAGCAGTAATTCTCTGTACTTTACTGTTCACATTAAAATAAAGTGAGTATCCATCTTCAGAAAAGATCTGATTTGATTATTTGTGTGTGTGTATGAATACTGTACTAATGCTTTATTGTTTTTCTGGCTGCTATAAAAATCACATGGCTTGAATAATGCAATTTGATTATCTTAAATTCTTTTTGTTAGAGAATGCAGTGTCATTGAACTAAAAACAAGTTGATGAGACTTGTTTTTTAGAGGCACTACAGAAATTGTTTTCTTGGCTTCTCAACCTTTTTAAGAATTACCCAAAAGATTTGGTCAATTTTCAAGGACAGCAACATTGTGCCTCTCAGACCTTCTTCTGTCATTTCACCTGCTCTCAATTGACAACTGACAAAGTTTCTGACCCTTTTAGTACTATATGTTTAGATTGGACAACCAGATTATGAAGATAAATTTGTAATCATGTCTGAAAACAAAACAAAACATAAAACCTCTTTCCTTCATTGCAAGGTAGTGTAGTCACAGATTTTGGGGAATGTGTATCAGTTTGGGGCACTGTGGTGAACAATCTTGGTTGTTAAACTGACTGAATCTGGAGCAAGTAAAACAAACTGCTAAGGCATTCCTATGAGTTTCTCAGTCAGATTACCTGAAGCAGGGAGACCCATCCTAAATGTGAGTGGCACCTTCTGCTGGCACCCCAGATAAAAGGACATAAGAGAAGGAAACTTTGGGGTTTTTTGTTTGTTTGTTTGTTTTCCTGCTTGCCCTAATTCTTGTTGACATGCTCATCTACCCTGCTGCTGTGAAATTCCTTCATGACATTAGCACCAACTTCATTGTGACCCCAATGTATAAACTAAGGATCAGCAGGAAGGAATCCTCTAGGTGTCCAGCACCAGATTAGGACTGTTGAGCCTCATAGACTGAACGACTAATGCAGTCATAGCCTTTCCAGTATATGACAGCAATTGATGGACCACACTCTGTAAGACAATCTCATAAATGATATCACTATCTTCACATCTACAGTGTGATGATTAGAGTGAGTTCATATGTTTGAACACTTGGTCTCCAGTTGGTGGAACTGCTTGGGAAGGATTATGCATTGTGGCCTTGTTGGAGGAAGTTTGTCAGTGGGGGGGGGAGAGCTTTGAGGTTTCAAAGGAATGGTGACATGAGTGTGCTCTCTCTGCCTCCTGCTTGTAGATCAAGATGTGAACTCTCAGCTGTTCCTACCACAATGACTTTGCTCTGCCATCATGAACTCTAACCCTCTGAAACCATAAACTCAATTAAATGCTTTCCTTTATATGTATATGTTGGTCATGGTGTTTTATCACAGCAGCAGAAAAGTAAGTAATAAATTATCAGTTCTGTTCTTTTACAGAATTCTAATACGGACACCATGGTAATCCTTACCACACCGCCTAGTAAACTGCTAGAGTGAAAACCTCTGTGGAGATGGCATATACTTCTCTTTATTTCTTACATTAAACCCAACTTTAAAAAAAGGGGGTGGGGAGAAAAGTATACAGAAGACAAACTGAAAGAGCTCTTGAAAGAAGAAGAGAAGTAAGATTAGTTAGGGTCCTTGAAACCCAAGGAAAGGCACAGCCACAGGCACAGCCACAGCGGTGATCCATACATTCAAGACACACCACAAACAAAGACAGCAACTTGGTAACACACAGAACACAAAGAGAAACACCCACAGGAAGCCTGCTCCCCCTGTGCACAGGGCAGCCCATCAACTGTAGCAGGTACCGCGCAACTGGAGGGAGCACAAAGGCCAAGTGATGGCCTGCCTTCCATCCTCACCACGTGGCCTTGCCATCATGTGTGGTGTCAGAGAAGCTACAGTAGAGGACAGGAACATTCACTCCTACCACACATGGCAATGCCACACATGAACAGCTGGGGAGCCCAGGATTTCTCAGACACTGGGCATTAACTGGTTTTCTCTTCTCCTCACTGACGCTGACATGAGTTGGGAATCAGACATTTTATGACTCTCTAGCAATAATAAAAACTGTGCTTATTCTGTGATGTCAGTGATGCTCTATGTGGTTGAGTAGGTAATGAGGCTAATCTATCTGTTCTAGCCATACTGGATGAAGGAAGCTGGAGTGCTCAGCCCAGTTCAGCACTCACACCCCTCAGTGCCACAGGAAGTCAGGTAAACAGACTAACACACCCTGGTCTTCTACTGAGTCTGGTGCATGCAGGTCATCCCAGCTCTTGGGAGGCTGAGGAAGACAAGTCAAGTCGAGGACACATGGGTTTACACAGTGAGCTCCTATCTAAAATCAGGGCTTCTACCCCCCAATCAAAGTCATGAGACACAGACCCCCTATACTTGGGACATAGAGGTAGGTGGGTCTCCGAGACCAGCCTAGTCTATATAGTGAGTTCCAGTCAAGCCAGGGTTACATAGTGACACCTTGCCTAAGGAAGCAGCAGCAGCAGGAGCAGCCACTGGCTATAGTGGCTCTCACTGCTAACTCAGGAGAGATGGGTTCCTGCAGCTTACTGCCAAGACAGTCCAGCCAAACTGCTGAGTCCCAAACCAGAAAGAAATTCTGTCTCAAAAAATAAAGTGGATAGCACCTGAAGAATGACAACTTCAGTTGTCCTTTGACCCTACATGTGCACAGGAGGATGTATATGCACAATTAAACATATATATTGCACCTATACACACCAATGAAATAAAAGTGTGTATGACAAATACACTTTAGTTTTTCTGAGATATTTGTGACTGAAGAATTAATTGTATCATCTAATGCAGTTCTAAATATAAATGTCTTCCTCGATATCTAGAAGAAATATACAAGGCAAACATTATAAACAAAAGAGTGCCAGCCTATAATCCCAGGATTCAGAAGGCTAAGGCAGAGAAATAATAGCAAGTTCCAGGCCAGTCTACATCTCACACTCACAGGTTTCAGGCAGACCAGGCTGCATAACAAAATCTTGCCTCAAAAAAAAAAAAAAAAAACAACCATCAAACATAGAAGTTGAACTGGTAACTGGTAACATGGTGACATCAGTGGACTTTGGGTAAGTTATGTGTATGTAATGCAATATGCAGACAAAGAATACAAAGATAAACTGAAGAACACACACACGTAAATTAAATGGTAACTAAAATATATTAACTATCAAGAAGGTAGTAAAAAACAAATAAATGAAACAAATCAGAAAACATAATGGCAGATGTAATTTTCTAAATACTCGAATTTAAAGGCAGCTAGCCCAGAATACCCAGTAGCAAACAATAACAAGACTGATTCAAACAGGTTAGAAGGTGAGGACCCACACCCAGATTTGTCCTCTGACCTCCATTCACACTAGAGTAGTACACACACACACACACACACACACACACACACACTCACTCACACACATGCACACATACACATGCACACACATACATATATGTGAAAAGAAGTTCAGAAAGACAGAGAAAGCAAAAATGCCCTAGGGGAAAACTCAAAAACAAGGCCTGGCATGGTGGTAAATGCCTTTAATTCCAGCATTCATAGTCAGGTAGGAGGATCTCTGTGAATTGGAGGCACATAGCAAGTTCCATGCCCGGTCTCAAACAACAACACCCTCCTGTCAAGCATCCAAGAAAAACAAAACAAAACAAAACAAAAAAACTTAATTTCATGCTTGGAATGCAGGAAACTGTACAGGCAGAATCCCCGAGAAAAAATGTACTTTACATGTCCTGTGGCTAGGAACACTAACTGCTGCAGAAGAATGTAAAATGCTGTGTGGAGACATCATGCAAACCCTGGAATGGATGATCATAGCCTCAATTTGCCCATGATACTTTCCGTCTAGTTTTGGGTCCTGGTCTTTAGCAAGTAAATTTCCTTTACTTCCAGCCAAAGATTGTTTTGCTGATAGCAGAGCTTCGGGACTGTTGAAAGAATCATACAAATCCCAGGAAGTGGCCATTATGCCTAAACAGACAGAAAAGGCAAAAGGATTTCAAAGTAAATTCTAATATTACAGCTTTGTACATAACTGGTCATAGAGAAATCTAAAATTATTTTCTATTAAGAACACTTTAGGCAGATGTCTGTGAGTTCAAGGCCAGCCTGGTCTACAAAGTTACACAGAGAAACCCTGTCTTGAAAAACAAAACAAAACAAAACAAAACAAAGAACACATTAATCTTAACAGCATTGACAGGAAAATAACAAAGAAATAGTTTATGAGGATACCTGGGGAGATCCTGAGCCGTCTCAATATTAGCATCTAGATCTACCTTCGTGTTTTAGGGACAGCCCAGGTTACCCTCACTCTCATGGAACTCTGTTTCTCCATCCTTCCTATCCAGGCCAGAGAAGAGTCACCTCATCAGCTTGTCACCGCAAGGCTGTCATGGGATACAGACTTGAACAACACTGAGACAGTGTTTTAGCTAGTGGCTAGCACGCAACACCTTATATTTTACAGATCTGCTTGTGGGAAGCATGCCATTCCTTTTCTACTCAGTAAAGTTCCCCTTACAACTATGTAGGTAGAAACAGTGTACCTTATGGGACAATGACATTGTCAAAAACCTTAATTACATTTATTCAAATCATCAAATATAGAAATGGGGACCAAACACAAACTGAAAACATCACTTATCATCAAATAATAATTTAGAAGCCCCATCCCCTTTTTCTACCAATTTACTGTTTTTGTAGCAATATACTATCCCTGAGTACAACATTCCTACAGATGACCCTACTAAACTTTTAGTTAATGATGTGGAAGTTTTTTAAGGATAGTGTTTAATAAAAACAAACTTTTCCTTTAAAAATTGAGATGGGCCAGGCAGTGGTGCACACCTTTACTTCCAGCACAGGCAGGTGGATCTCTGTTAGTTTGAGGCCAGTCTGGTGTACAGGGCAAGTTCCAGGACAGACTCCAAAGCTGCACAGAGAAACAATCAAACAAACAAACAAAGAATGTGTGCTGTTCCCACAGAGGACCCAAGTTAAGTCCCCAGGACCCACATTAGTGCCCACAACTGTCACTCCTGTCCAATGCCTCTGACTCTCACGGGCACCTGAACTCACATACACAGACATACACATTTTATTTTAAACCTATTGTTAAGTTTTTGTCAACAGCGTATTAAAACTTTCCTTTTTATACAATTCTGTCCCTCTACCTTGTTTGTAAGATGATATTTTTTTTACATATTGTAAGCCTATTAACAACTTAAATATTGCTTTATCAATCTCTTTAATTTTGTTTTTTAATATTTGTACTTATCTCATGAGTGTTTTGCCTGTGTAGTTATCTATGTGTACTGCATGCATGCAGTGCCCACAGAGGCCTAAAGAGGGCATTGGGTCCCCTGGAACTGGAGTTACAGATAGTTGTGAGCCACTGTGTGGGTGCTGGAAACCGAACCTAAATCCTTGGAAGAGCATCCAGTGCTCTTGTCCACTGAGCCACCTCTCCTCCAGCCCCTCTGCATCTCTTTTAAACTCTACTGCAAAAACAGGAAATTGGAAACAAAAGGAACTGGCTTTGGCACTTGCTTACATGTTCTTTTTTACTGATTCCCCCCCCCCCACTGTCTACTATCCTCCTGTTTGCCTAAAGGACTCATTCATTTAAAACAATTCTACCATCAATAAATTCCTTCAGCGTTTGAATACTCAGAAGTATCTCGATTTCTCCATTTCTAAAGGATTTGGTATTGCTATTTGACAGTGCTCCTTTTGCATCTGAACTTTAAATGTCACTGTGGAGCTATTCTCCTCGAATCAGACCCTTAGCAAGTTTAGAGAGACTTGGCTTATTCCCTGTCCAGCTACTCTTTGTGCCCCTTTCTCATAGTCTCATTACACCCATATGTGTGCTTACTGCCTCATAGGTCTCCATTTCAGGGTTTTTTTTTTTGTTTGTTTTTTGTTCGTTTGTTTGTTTGTTTTTCTCTTCCTAAATGTTCTCTTGCAAACTCCAGTGCACATTCTCATTTCCATTGCCACACTTTTTATTTTCTTTAAGACAAGCCCTTAGGTATCTCAGGTTGGCCTTGATCTTGCTACACACCGAGGATGACCTTGAACTCTTGTTCCTCCTGCTTTCCCCTCGGGAGAACCGAGACATTACAGGAATGAATTACACTGCTCTTATGCAGTGCTGTGGATCAAAACCACGGTTCCATACTAGAAAGAATTTGTACTTTCTGCTACCAGGGAAGGAAAAACAGTAGGATATCCAGATACATCCTCATTTGTACTCCCAAATGTACCATCCAGGCAAGCAACACCTCTGCTCTGAGGTGGGAATGGGGGGGGGGAACTAAAAGGAGATTGGAGCATTCATTCTTTTCTTCCACATAAAAGGGAGTAACAGGGGTGAACAATAAATATTCCCACCTATAAAAAAAAAAAAAACACTTCTTTTACTAAAAGTTTGTATTTTTAATCTTTAGAAAGAAATTAGCTCCTGGCTATGTTGAGCTGCGATAAGAGATCCGATTATGTATGTTCTTTTCTCCTAGCTTTTCATCTGCCCATACACCACTGGCTTTTGCTTATGCAGTGTCCTCAGACATGTTAATCTGTAAACATGCAGAGGTAGTAAACATAGTGTTTGAGAGCACAGGTTCTAGGACAAAAACAACCTGGGTTACTCCTCTATGGCTGTTTCCTCATCTATGAAACGGAGACTAATAATTGGACCCACTTTATAGTGTTATGGTGATCATTAAGACAGTTACTATAGGAAGAATGTAAAGATTTTGTGGAATATACAAATATATGTGGTGGTAGTAAACTACATCATAAAATCATTTTTTTTTTTTTAGTTTTTATAAATAATTAAATAGTGCAGAGTTCCGATATAGGGTGAATAAGAATCAGTCTGAACAATTATGTTACTCAAATACTGTATATTATTATTTCCTGTTACCTTGTCAAATTCTGAACATTATAAATTACAGTAACTAGTACTGAGACCTGGGCAAATCAATTTCTATTTTTTATTTATATATTTATATGTGTTGACTGACAGAGTCCAGGAACATATACTAAAATATATAACAACAGTTTGCCAACAGGAATAAAACAAATTACCTTTTTCTTCCGTTATGATTTTTTCACACTGAACCTCTTTATTCTTTGGTGCTCCATTAAATGTTTGCATCATCCTTTCCACATATAGGTCATTGCCTAACCTATTTCTACAAAGGATTTCATAATTCTTATTTTTCAGTCTGTAAAAAAACCAAAAATAACTAATTAAAAACTGTTATGGACATGATGTCATCATCATTCTACATTACATGTTGTCAAGTGCTTTCATTAACACAAAATGTAACAAAATGTGAGCATTAAAAACTCCTTAGGGAAATATTTCATTACATTACCACAAAGGACTGTTTCATGCTTCATGTTGTGCTTCCCAATGTCCATACTGCTTTCAGTGTTTATCAATAATATACCAGCACTATGTTCAGAGAATTCACGAGATTTAATATGGACATCCAAAGCCACAAATTCAGTCCAAGTATTACTTTTGCAGCATTGTGTGCACGATGTTTTCAAAATTGGTTAGTTATGGGTATTTTTATTTATTTATTTATTTTCTGAGACAGGTTTTCTCGGTGTAGCCCTAGTTGTCCTGGAATGCACTCTGTAGACCAGGTTGGCCTCAATCTCACAGAGATCCTCCTGCCTCTTCCTCCCCAGTGCTGGGATTAAAAGTGTGCACCACCACTGCCTGGCCTAGTTATAAGTATTTTTTAAACTCACATTTTAATTCCATTAATCTAGAAAATGTTTTCTAACCTCTCCCTCTCCCCCTTGCCCCCGCCCGATCCAGTGTGAAAGTGAATGCCTTCATTGAGATTTACTAATTTTTCATTTCAGTTTGGTCAAAGAATTTAGTGTAAGTCTACTCTGAGATTTTAATTTAAATTTACTATATGTCCCTTTCATCATGAAGTGGTCTTTCCCTAGGTATACTGCACGTACGCATTTCTAAAGGCTCTGTAGTTTTCTCCTTTGTTTTCTTCTACTTAAAAAATCTTCTGGGGCTGGAGAAATGACTCAGCACTCAACAGCACACTGGCTGCTCTTACAGAGGACCTGGTTTCAAATACCCACATGGCAGCTCATGACTGTCTATATCTCCAAGATCTGACCTCCTAACACATACTTCCATGCATGCAAAATACCAATGCACATAAAATAAAAGATAAATAAATTTTTAAAAACACAATAAAAAATATCTTCTTTCAGGGTGTAGGCTAAGTGGTTAAGAACATTTGCTGTTCCTACAGAGGGTCTGGAGTTTGGCTCCCAGGATCCGTATTGTGAAGCTCCAAACCACATGTAACTCCAGCTCTAGGAAACATGATGCCGTCTCTTAGCATAGCATAGCGGAGTGTGACATCTCTCCTCTCTCTCAGACACACACTTGCACACACTTGCGCGCACACACACACACAAATAAAAATAAACTTTGAAAAAAGTTCCTCTTTATCTTTGGTTTTCAGGAGGCGCGTCAGCACAATGCACTGAGGTCATTTCTGTTGCTTTCATTTTTACTTCTATGCAAGAGTCTGTTAGTAACTCAGGAAAGCTTACTCCACTCTGGGATTTGTACTGTACATGTGTGAAACACTGACATGCTAGACTATTATTTTTATAATCCATTTTCTTTTTATGTTTCATTTTCAGACCCATGCTTGCTTTCTGACAGTTACGTAAAGTTCTTATCCAGCAGCATCATTCGGAGCTTCTTAATGTAAATGTTTAACCATCTTAATTGCTGAAACATTTCACAGCTGTTTTGTATTTTGTATCCAATCAGCCCATAGCTCTAGCATTCTCAGAGTTTGGATCTGTTGTTTATCTTTTAATAATGACTTGTCTTTTATTGGTTTGGCATTTTTTTTTTATCAAATTCAATCTGAGGGAATCATTTTTAAAGTATTTATTATTGCTGTATATGTGTCAGTTATTTAAATGTATGTGTGGTATATGCACATATGACTGTCACATATGTCAGGTATCTGGTCACTCTTTTAATCCCTTGAGATAAAGTCTCACTGACCCTGGAGTTGAGCCAGCAGCCAGCAAATTCCTGCAATCCTCCTGTCTCCACCCCTCCAACACCAACCATGCACATGTTTCTTACGTGGGCACTTGGGACTCTAACTTACCCCCTCGTGCTTTGGATATGTTCATGTATCACTTTTTTATTAAGTCACAGGAAGGAACATATCTTTTACCTCAAAAATTTATTCATTGTGGTGAGCTAAAAATCCTCTCTTTTATCTATTTTGCAACATATATTAACAGGGTCACACAGCTGTGACAGGACACTAGGACTTGATTTGGTCCTGCTGACTAGAACTTTGGACCTGCTGACCTCTGTCCTTTCTTCTTCAGAAGTTCACATGGTTACACAAGCTATGCAAAAGAGAAGAGCTTTTCCTATAGAAAATTGTCATGTGATGTAAACATGTCCTCATAAGATCACAGAGCATGTATGTAAATTTAAGGGCGCATTTCTAGAAATCTCCAAGGGCTCGTCACAAGAACAAGAACCTCTGATTACCCTAGCTGTATAGAAGTAATATAGACAACTGAGTCACACATACATTATTTTCTCAGCTTCTTCAGATTCTATCGAGAATATGACTGTTGGCAGATCAAAAAATTTCAGTGTTTCCGTCTCTGAGAGAATGATCTCTATGTTCTTCTCCAGCTCTTCCTTTGTTATAGCTGTTTCAGGTGTAGTCCTCAGAACTCGAACATCTAAAATACACACCACAGTAAGACCATCCTGGAGCGGCTAGTGTACACACTTCCTAATTGCTTAGGCACAGTGATGACACACACATGGTATGCATACTGTCTAGTCACTGAGACACAATGACACACACACACACAGTAAGTGTCTTTAAACAGCAGTCTGTTAACCTCCGTGAAGGCAACTGGAGAAGCCCGTAACAGTCTGTATTGCTGTTAGAGCTATCAGTCCTAGTCTAGTCTCCTATCTCTGGTCACAGTCCCAAGGGCAATCCTGTTACAATTATCCTGTTCTATTACTAGGAATTTTAAGGTAGCTGTTGGTGCCACTGAGAAGCAATATGGGGGAAGGTATATTGTGAAAGGCACCTGACCCTTTGAGGCCTCAGCAACCTGGCTCATTATTTTGTTTGTTTGTTTTTGTTTTGTTTTGTTTTGTTTCTTATAGTTCACCTTCAAACATCTTCGACAAGAGATAGAGGAATCTTCAACAGGTCTGGTTGACTATAGGTCTGAAATGGTCTCAACTTTCACACAAATAAGGGATATGTTTAAAAAAAAAAGAGATTAGTCAAAATCTTTAGAATAGTGAGAGGTCCAATACCCCAGGAGAATTTTACTAAGGGTAGAATTTCAGAGCTGGGGAAGTTTGGGATGGGTTATTGGCAAGAAATAGCCTTGATGTGGCATGTTGGTCAGGGTTCAATAGGTTTGGGATTTTGAAACAGGACCTCACTATGTAGCCCAGGCTGGATTCAAACTCAAAGCCCCTCTGTCTCCATCTCCAGTGTACTGGCATTAGAGGCATGAATCATACCAGGGTTCAGTGTACTTTTCTTAACAAAAGAGGAGAAAGCGGGAAAGCAAAGACTCTCAAGGGTAAAGTTTGACTTGCTTTAGAACAATAAAACAAGAGTTCAACACTTCCCAGAGGTGAAGACTCAGTCCCCTCTTAATGCTCAGGATCTGAGAAAAACAACTTCCTAATAATCTTAAAAAAAAAAAAAAAAAAAAAAAAGCATCTGGAATGGTTAAATATAGTAACACATTCTCATCCATGCACAAAATTCTAATAAATGTATTTTTCAGATACTATGGAAACGCTTGTGCTACAATTCTAAATGAAGAATAGCCTACAGCACTGTCTATAGAGTAGTTACAATGACATAAAATAAAGGTCAGGAAAAATGAAGTGTTTAATTGCTAGCCGCCTTAATGACTCTTTAAAAAAACCTGTTCTACAATAGTAAATCTGGTTAAGATAGGATAAGCAAAGAGAAGCAAATGAATTATCTACATGGGCAGCTTGGAGGTGCATTTAGTTCAGATTTCCTACGGCAGCAATGGAGAAAATAGGAGTAAGATGTAACGATCCACAGGGACACAGGGAAGTTTGAAACTGAAAAGAACAGGCTCTTGATCCTCTCCCTACTCTTTTAGACCATCAGATGTCGGGTAATGACTCGGCTATAAATAAAGTAGCCTTGCAGCACAGACGTAGTTCTAAAAAAAAAACATCACATGAGATATGGCACATACAGAATCTAATGTGACAGCATCAGTTATATATTAGAGTTGGGGATTTTTTTTTTTTTTTTTTAGCTTTGGAGCCTGCCCTGCAGACCAGGCTGGCTTTGAACTCACAGTGATCTGCCTGTCTCTGCCTCCTGAGTGTTGGGATTAAAGGTTTATGCCACCATCACCCAGCAAAAATGAGTCTTTTTAATGGCAGAGGGACACACTAAACCACAGAACAGCAAATGAATTTTGTGCAGGTCTGTCATCTCCTCAATGTTACCTGAATTTGATACATAATAAAGGAAAAAAAAATTCCAGCAGCAGTATGTATCTATGGAATCTACATATCACCGGCTCCAGACTAGTCTTACAGTAGGTGGAGACTGCACTTGCATCTCTACCTAGAAACCTATCAATGTACTTTTTGCTTTCAGATGGAGGAAGCACACTTTTCTCCACCTGTGATATTCTTCAAGAGATCTCCAGCTATGTGCATCAATCATGTTATGACCACATGTTCACACAGAAAGCCCCTCCAGAGAGACAGGAAGGACTCTGTAGTGGTCTACATCATTTAATGAGAAGGTGAGACCCTGTCAACTTTGGGGCTTCAAAAACACTTTTACTCACAGTATAAACTTGTTTTGTTTCCAGTGTATCAGCCCTTACCCTGTGTTTTTCAACTAACTCAGAAATGGGTAAGGAAAAAGTTATATTATCTGGTCACATTAAGAAATCTTAGGCCAGGTGGTGGTGGTACATACAGGTAATCCAAGAACTTTTGCAAGGCAGAGGCAGGTAGATCTCTATGAGTTCAAGGCCCACTTGGTCTACAAAGTGAGTTCCAAGACAGCCAGAGCAGCTACTCAGAGAAATCTTGTCAAAAAAAAAAAAAAAAAAAAAAAAAAAAAAAAAAGAAAGAAAGAAAGAAAGGAAGGAAGGAAGGAAGGAAGAAACAAAGAAAGAAAGAAAGAAAGAAAAAGAAAGCTCAGTGAGGTACACTCCATGAAGCCTTGATTAAGCTGTTGTTTAGCTACAATGAGTCCAGTGCAATTACAATCATCAATCATATTGAGTTACAAAATGGTGCTTCTTTCTCTCACAAATGCAGAAGTGCTAACCACAGGTACTCTATGAGTTCATGTACAAATACCTATTACCCATTTATCTCCATGCTGAGCGAGCAACAGTCTGTGCCTAACAAGCTGCTCCATCATACAAATCAAACTCCAAGCATTTTCGGGCATCAGCTCTGAAAAGTGTATACATCAGAAAACCCAGAAGGCTTGGGAAAGATTTCAAGATGGTTGAGTGATTCTTTTCACTTTAGAACAGTTCAAGGTGTAGGAAATTTGTAAGAATATTAGAGTTTGTGTACGAACTCTGTACTCAGTAGTAAACATTCCTCTGGTGTACTTAGAGCAGCTAATGAACCAATAGGAATACTTCAACATCTGAAGCTCAGCTTTTATTATAGTCTGCTTCATTTTTAATGGCATCTAAAAACTCAGAATCTATTCCAAAATACCATCCAAAAAACCACATTTGATCATCCTGCCCCTTAGGTTTTCATAGACTGTGGCAGTTTCCTGAGTTAGAAGACTAAGGAGTATTGGTCATGCATGTGGAACAGGCTTCCATTTAGGATTGCCTGATGCGGGACACAGGTGGAAGGAAACAGAGTCTAATCTTATGGTACATTTACGTTATCAACACGACTTCTTGCTGACATCATCCACACTTAGCTGAATCTGGTTTCTGTTTTCATACACTATAATCTGGAGAAAGTCATGATGCAAAGCCCATATTTAGGAGGATAGGAAAGCTCCACCTTGAAGGACAAACATTTACATGAGGATTTAGAATTCTTCCCTATAGGAGTCTATCTACTCTACCCTTCATCACACTTCTAAGTATGGGCTCCTGGATATTGTCAATGAGTTATAACACAGCGCTATACTTTTTTGTTGTTGAACTTATCTACCTTTGGCTAATGGGAACACTAATGGCTGCTGTGTCCTTGTCATTCTTTTTTGCGGTAGGGAGAGGCAGGGTTTTGTTCAAGTATCTTTTTACTTTCTTGTCCATCTTATATATGCCCAAGGCTCAGAAATCAGCTATTTCTTTAAAGGGCCCTAGTTTCTTTTGTTGAAGGACAATATGCAAAGCTGAGTAAAGCACTCAATTATTTTACAAACAGACCCTTATCTATATCTATATAAAGACTATGGTTGATTATTTGGCAATTGCGGGGGGAGAATGAGAGACTGGAAAGATGCTCAATGGGTACTACCATTAGCAGATGAACTGAGGTTCAGTTCCTAGCAAATGCATGAGACCCATGATGGTCTGTAGTTCTAGTTCCAGAGGATCTGATGTCCTACCCTGACCTCCTCAGGCACTGCACATACTTCAGATGTATACACGGGCAAAACACCCATACACATAAAATATACCCTTAAAAAGAATGATAATGATTTCCAAGTGTTGACTTGTATGTACATGTACAGGAAAATGGGAGTTTCTCTCTAGGCCTCTCTCTCTCTCTCTCTCTCTCTCTCTCTCTCTCTCTCTCTCACACACACACACACACACACACACACACACACACACACACACACACACACACACACACTACAAACACTCCACACAAGGAGAGGTATTGATAATGACTAAACTCAAGGCCTTCCTTGTAGGAAAATGTTCTCCCACTAAGATAGGGCCTCAGTTCCTTCATATCTACTTTCAGGCACAATTAAGAAATTAATCTTAAAATGGAATACAAACTGTGACAAAATAATCTAGGTTTTTACAAACATTACAAACAAGGACAGTTTCAGTGTAGGGGATTAAACTACTGAAAATACATTAAACTGTAAGATTTAAAAAATGTTTTTATTACCTGTAAAACTAGCCAGTCTTTCCCTCTTGTAAGCTGGTTCTTCTAGGTCCTCTGTTATTGATTCAGTTGTGGACACACTTGACTTGGACACTGTGCTGCTCCCCAGAACTGACCTTTGAAAGTTATTAACACATTTGTTCAATGTCCTTATGAGAAACTAAAAGTGTACATTAGATTACATCAACAGACAGAAAATCCAAATATACTAATCATATAAGCAACGTAAATCAAAATAACTTTTAACTCTACACTTGATTTTTAACAATTTTTAAAAAGTGAAGGTTTATTTTAGAATAGCGTATCAAATCTCTACCCAGAGGCCATCATTATATTCCCAATGTATATGTTGAATGAATATCTGAAATATAGCTCCCTGTCAGCCTCCATTTTCTTTGTCACTTTTCATCATTTTGCTGTGGTGTGCTTTAGTACCTCTACCCCAGGAGTTTGTTTAGGGGCTCAGCCAAGAACACTCTTCTACACATTCTTCATAGCCCATCTCAAAAGTTCAATTTACCAAAGTTCCCTGGATAGGTAGGTAACAAGACACAGCTGCCCTGTGAAATATTTCCTCCACTCCAAAGGCAACTGTAGACATAGCTACACTGCACAAATGGAAACCTTCCCTGTGAGAGGGGCTGGGGGAAAGTTCATGAGACTTGAGGTGACAAAAGGTCCTGTCTGGAAGAAACAGTCACTTGGAAGAGCCTCAAAGGTCCCTCCCAGGCTTAACAGGAGTAAACAAGTGCTGGGGAGGAGGACTGAGCAACTGAGCTACCAGGGGAAAGATTCTGGGGCTATGCAGCTGCCTACAGGCTGTGCAGAGAGCTTAGGGCTATGGCTTGTGGTACCATGTGGGGTCTGCTTTGCTGTGACGCAGATGCTTTTCTAAGTCATCCCAATTCCTGTAAGCAACCCTTCACCCCCTCTCCTGTTAGTAAGGCCAATAAAAACTCACCACACTGGACTTTATTGCAATCATTAGTTTGGTCAGTCATGGGTTCCCTTTCTGGGGTGAGTAGATGTGTGCTACATGTCCCCAGGAAAAGCTGTCACATGGTATGTGTGTATGTATGTATGTATGTAAGCTATGTAAGCTATGTAAGCATATATAGGAAATGGAAGATGAATTCAAAAGTAAATTTTAAATCAATGATCATAATATTATCCTGTAACATCTTACATTTATGCTTTCAATTGTTTACCAAGAGGTTAACCTTATTGGAAGATCCATTGTTTCTCATCTGGCTTTCCAAATGTTTTGTGTGCGAATTCAATGCAGGCTCTAGAACACTGTGTGACTGCACTGTATTTTAAATTACAGCAATAAAACCCCAAAGAAACCGGGCCAAAACCGACTGTCAAGTTAGTTCTTTCTTTTGATCCCTTAGGCAATCTTGAGTAAAATATACACACTTTTCACAATGTTTTGGAATTTATGGGAAATCTTCACTCAAGTTCTGAACATGAATGTAATTAAAACATAAAAGCTAGAACACTAGCATTGATAGATTGAAGTTAGAAAACTGGAAACATACGTGTCTAGATGTATGCAATACAATATAAATGCAATCAAAAGAACAAGGGCCTGTATACTTCACCTTGTGAACTGCCCTAACATACTAGGGTTGATTGTATTTTGATACAGGCTATATGAAGAAATAAAATCTGATCCAAGTGATCCTTCTTGTGACGTCAAGAGTTTATTTGGCTTTGCTGTTCCAACAAGTGGATCTGGATGGTAGAGAGGTCGGGGAGTGACATCAACGCCTCTTGCATCAAACACCTGTAGAAAATGGTCATTTAAAGTGAATAGCCAGACAAGAAAACAGAAATATGCATAGCATTAAAATATTGAGTGAAATGTTCTTAGGACAAAATAAACATGAGAACTTTAATAATACAAAGTTTTATTCATGCAGTTTAATTAAGCAAAATGAAAATAAATCTTACTCATGTGCCTATATATAAGTAATAAATACAGAGATATGATCTGGAAGTGTTAGCTGATCTCTGTCAGTGATCATCATACAGTACACTTATAGAAACCTGGAGGGTATAGCCAATCATTTGAAATGGCCTCTTGATGTAATCAACAGACAAGATACATATAGAAGGGGCTGGCATGACAACAAAGTTTTAAATTAATTATTTAATTAGTTAGTTTGTTTGTTTATTTTTGAGAGAGATTTTCTCTGTGTTTCTCTGGCTGTCCTGGAACTTGCTTTATAGACTAGGCCAGCCTTGAACTCAGGGACCACCCTGTCTCTGCCTTTTGAGTACTGGGATTAAAGGCATGTGCCACCATGTCTGGCTACAGAAAACTTTCCTTTTTTTAATGACAATATATTTTTATTCAAATTTGAAACAAGTTTGTTTTACATGTTAATCACAGTTCCCTCACCCTTGTCTCCTCCCCTGTCCCCCTCCAAACCCCCATCCCATCCCCGTTCTGCTTCCATGGGGGATCTTCAAAGTCTGTCATATAATTTGGAGTAGGACCTAGGTCCTCCCACATGTATCTAGACTGAGAGAATATCCCTCCATGTGGAATGGGCTCCCAAAATCCATTTGTATACTAGGGATAAATACTGAAACACTACCAGACACCCCATAGATTGCCCAGTCCTCCTAACTAACACCCATGTTCAGGGGATCTGGGTTGGTCCTTTACTAGTTTCCCAGTTATCAGACTGGGGTCCATGAGCTCCCCCTTGTTCAGGTCAGATGATTCTACAGGTTTCTCCAGCCTGGTCTTGATCCCTTTGCTCATCATCCCTTGCTCTCAGCAACTGGATTCCAAGAGTTCTACTGGTGTTTAGCTGTGGTGACTCCTGCTTCCATCAGCCACTGGATGAAGGCTCTAGGATGGCATATAAGGTAGCCATCAATCTCATTATTGGGGCAGGGCATTTAAGGTAGCCTCTCCACTATTGTTTAAATTCTTAGTTTGGGGTCATCCTTATAGATCTCTGGACATTTCTTAGTGCCACATTTCTCTTTAAACTTATAATGGCTCCCTCTATTGTGGTATCTCTTTTCTTGCTCTCCTCTATTCTTCCCCTGACTCAATCTTCCTGCTCCCTCATGCCCTCCTCTCCCCTTCTCTTTCTCCTAACTCCCTCTCCCATCCTCCCATGCTCCCAATTTACTCAGGAGATCTTGTCCAAAGGGACCATGTATGTCTCTCTTAGGGTCCTCCTTGTTTCCTAGCTTTTCTGGTGGTATGGATTGTAGGCTGGTGATCCTTTGCTCTATGTCTAAAATCCATATATGAGTGAGTACATATCATGTTCATTTTTTTGTGACTGGGTTACCTCAGTTTGGGTGGTTTCTGCTAGTTCGTCCATTTGCCTGGGAATTTCAAGATTCCATTGTTTTTTCCACTGAGTAGTGCTCCATTGTGTAAATGTACCACATTTTCTCCATCCATTTTTCTATTGAGGGGCATTTAGGTTGCTTCCAGGCTCTTGATATTACAAATAATGCTGCAATCAACAGAGCTGAACAGATATCCTTGTATGAATGTGCATCCTTTGGGCACATACCAAAGAGTAGAATTGCTGGATCTTGTGGTTGATTCCCATTTTCCTGAGGAACTGCCATACTGATTTCCAAAGTGGCTGTAGGGGTTTGCACTCCCACCAGCAGTGGAAAAGTATTATCCTTTCTCCACATCCTCTCCAGCATGAACGGTCTTTGATGTTTCTGATTTTAGCCATTCTGGCAGGAGTAAGATGGTATTTCAGAGTTGCCTTGATTTGCATTTCCCTGATGGCTAAGGATGTTGACCATTATCTTAAGTGTCTTTCAGTCGTTTTAGATTCATCTATTGAGAATTCTCTATTTAGTTCTGTACCCCACTTTTTAATTGCATTGTTTGGTGTTTTGGTAACTAGCTTCTTGAGTTCTTTTTATATTTTGGAGATCAGTCCTCTGTCAGATGTGGGGTTGGTGAATATCTTTTCCCATTCTGTGGGCTGCCATTTTGTCTTATTGACTATGTCCTTTGCCTTACAGAAATTATTCATTTCCAGAAGATCTCATTTATTAATAGTTGTTCTCAGTGTCTATGTTACTATTGTTTTTTTCAGGAAGCAGTCTCCTGTACCAATTTGTTCAAGGGTACCTCCCACTTTCTCTTCTAAGAAGTTCAGTGTGGCTGGATTTACGTTGAGCTCTTCGATCCATTTGTACTTAAGTTTTGTGCATGGTGATAGATATGGATCTACCTGCAGTCTTCTACACACCAGCATCGTTATGCCAGCACAATTTTTTGAAGATGCTTTCTTTTTTTTTTTTCATTGTATAGTTTTAGCTTCTTTGTCAAAATCAGGTGTTTGTAGATGTGTGGGTTAATATCAGGGTTTTTGATTCTATTCCATTGGTCTACCTGCCTATTTTTGTGCCAATACTAAGCTGTTTTCAGGACTATAACTCTATAATAGAGCTTGAAGTCAGGGATGGTGATGCCTCCAGAAGCTTCCTTATTGTACAGGGTTGTTTTGGCTATCCTGGCTCTTTTGTTTTTCCACATAAAGTTAAGTATTGTTCTTTCAAGGTTGGTGAAGAATTGTGCTGGGATTTTGATGGGGATTGCATTGAATTTGTAGACTGCTTTTGGCAAAAATGCCATTTTTACTATGTTGATACTACCTATTCAAGAGCAGGGAAGATCTTTTCATTTTCTGTTATCTTTGTTAATTTCTTTCTTGAAAGACTCAAAGTTCTTATTATATATAGGTCTTTCACTTTTGTGGTTAGCGCTACCCCAAGATATTTTATATTGTTTATGGCTATTGTAAAGGGTGATATTTCTCTGATTTCTTTCTCAGCCCCTTTATCGTCTGTATATAATAGTGCTACTGATTTTTTTTTTTTTTTTTAGTTAATCATGTATCCAGCCACTTTGCTGAAGGTGTTTACTGGTTGTAGGAGTTCCCTGGGAGAGTTTTTCAGGTCATTTATGTAAACTATCAAATCATCTGCAAATAGTCAAAGTTTGACTTCTTCCTTTCCAATTTGTATCCCCTTGATCTCCTTTTATTTTCTTATTGTTCTAGCTAGAACTTCAAGTATAATATTGAAGATATATGGAGAGAGTGGGCAGCCTTGTCTTGCTCCTGATTTTAGAGGAATTGTATTGTATTTCTCTCCATTTAGTTTGATGTTAGCTGTTGGTTTGCTGTATATTGCTTTTATTATGTTTAGGTATGTTCCTGTTATCCCTGATCTCTCCAAGAACTTTGTCATGAAAGGGTGTTGGATTGTGTCAAAGGATTTTTCAGCATCTAGGGAGATGATCATGTGGTTTTTCTTTTTTAGTTTGTTTATATGGTGGGTCACATTGATGGATTTTTGTGTGTTGAAGCCTACTTGATCATGGAGGATGATTTCTCTGATGTGTTCTTTTATTGAGAATTTTACATCAATGTTCATGAGGGATATTGGTCTGTAGTTATCTTTCTTAGTTTTGTCTTTGTGTGGCTTGGGTACCAAAGTAATTGTAGCCTTGTAAAAAGAGTTTGGTAGTGAACCTTCTGCTTCTATTGTGTGGAACATTTTGAGGAGTATTATAGGTATTAGCTCTTCTTTGAATTTCTCGTAGAATTCTGCACTGAAACCATCTGCTGTGGGCTTTAATTGGTTGGGAGACTTTTGATGACTGCTTCTATTTCATTAGGGGTTATAGGTCTACTTAAATTGCTTATCTCCTCTTGATTTAATTTTGGTTAGTGATATCTATACAGAAAATTGTTCATTTCCATTAAATTTTCAAATTTTGTGGAGTACCGTTTTCAAAGTATGACCTGAAGATTCTTTCAATTTCCTCAGTGTCCATTGTTATGTCCCCTTTTTCATTTCTGATTTTGTTATTTTGCATGTTATCATTCTACCTTTTGGTTAGTTTGGATAAAGGTTTGTCTATCTTGTTGATTTTCTCAAACAATCAACTCATTGTTACATTGATTCTTTGTATTGTTTTCCTAGTTTCTACTTTATTGATTTCCCCTCCAGAGTTGCACTTTTCTTTTTGTTTTAGAGCTTTCAGTTGTGCTGTTAATTATCTAGTGTGACTATTCTCCAGTTTCTTCATGTGGGCACTTAGTGCTAGGAACTTTCCTCTTAGTTTTGTCATTCACAGTGTCCCCTAAGTTTGGGTATGTTGTGTCTTCATTATCATTGAATTCTAGGTCTTTAATTTCTTTCTTTAGCTCTTCCTTGACCCAGGAATGTTGCAATTGTGCATTGTTCAATTTCCATGTTTTTGTAGGGTTTCTGCAATTTGTGTTGTTGTTGAATTCTAACTTTAAAGCATGGTTGTCTGATTAGACACCGGGGATTATTCCAACTTTTTTGTACCTATTGAGGTTTGCTATATTGCCAAGTAGGTGGTCAATTTTAGACAGGTTCTGTGTGGCGCTGAGAAGAAGGTATATTCTTTTGTGTTTGGATGGAATATTCTATAAATGTCTGTTAAACCTAATTGGGTCATAACTTCTGTTAGTTCCTTTGATTCTTTGTTAAGTTTCTGTCTGGTGGACCTGTCTAGAGTTGAGAATGGGGTGTTGAACACTGTAAGTATGTGAGGTTTTATGTGTGATTTGAGTTTTAGTAATGTTTCTTTTACGAATGTGGGTGCCTTTGTATTTGGGGCATAGATGTTCAGAATTGAGACTTCATGTTGATAGATTTCTCCTGTGACGAATAAGAAATGACCTTTTTCATTTCTTTGGATTGATTTTAGTTTAAAGTTAGATATTAGGATTGCTAGACCTACTTATT